TTGCCAAGCCATTTAACTAGGGCAAATTTGGCCCATTGTCCATAATAGCCTGAACTCTCGAAAAAGTGGGGCTTTTGGAAAAGAACAAATAAACTTTGACGCACCTTTTTTTTTTTTTTTTTTTTTGGTTTTAATGTTAAGAAAACGCACTTTATTTTGTTGCAAGCAGCTACTTCATGATTCTCGAAACGTGTTCAGTTCTGTACTTGTAAAATTTTGATATTCTGGTAGAAAGGAAATCTTGGTCCTCGTCGTCGTCGAATCGGATACGTTAACGTTACGAGTCACCATTAGGGCCCTATACGAAATAATAGGAGACGCATGATGGTCACGTGTCACCGTTGCAGCACATAAAGTTTTCACCTCTCAGTGTTGAACATGTGCCGTATTTCAATTTCAAGCTTATATAGAATATTCTTTTTGGTCTCATTTTTTGTCTCGTCACGTAGAAGAACACTCAACACAACGGGTCATATCAAAACAATTTTTAACCAATTGAAACACTTATCTTTTACTAGTACAGCTCAATTATTTCGACTTTTTTTTTTTGTCGCCTATTTCGACGTTCTTTAAATCCACGATCATAGTGGTTTGGGATATAGTAATTAATTTCATGTTTTTAACCAAAAAATTGGAAAACTAATTAATTATTAGTTGTTGAGAAAACAAGTTGCAAAGCAGATTACCGGCGACTCCGTTGGTTTGTGAAACAAAACTATGAGACGGTTTAGAATGACGGTGGCCCCAATTCATGTTCATATTTTAGGTCTGCTCATATTTTTTTGAATGATTTATTTTTTTAAAAAAGTAGTGTACCCTATAAATGATTTAGTTTAGTAAAAGCTTTTGTCTATTGCTTTTATAATTTACTACTTTTTGGGTATAAGCATTTTATTTTTATCCTCGATCCACAAAACTAAAATAGTTATTGTACGTTTGAATAACCTTTTAATCTATAATACTAACTTGTTTTATATAATAAGATGTGATCATAGTCAAATAAATTTTGCGTAACTTTATGTATAAATTACATTATGAAAAATTAATGATACGTTGATGTATAGGTTTCTAGGAAATATCAATAGTATGAAAAAGGAACAAAAGAAACATTTTAAGCTATTTTCCTCGAAACAATATGAATGTGTCACTGACAGTAATCATACTGAGATATGAATATTGGTCCATTATAGATCTACGGTCATTATTATTTTTTAAAAAAAGATCTACGTTTATCTTTGGTGTGATTAGTAATTTAGTATAGCCAAAGCGATTAAGTGAATAAACAATTGTAGATATTTCTTACTTAACTATTATACTATAAGAAGCACACCGCAAAACCATCTGCATGACCATGGTCCATGGCCCTCAACGATGAGATTGGTCCGAATATGTTTTTAAATAGAGTTTGCTGACCAAATGCAAATGGCATCACGTCTCTTGTCATTGACGCCTTTGACACGTAGCAATTACACTATTCATTAAAACTTATAAGTGAACCTAAAGAATTAAGTCAATACTTGAGGATACAAATTATTGTTTCCGGCTAAAAACCTGATCACTTGATTTGAGAATCAAATATCTAAATTTGGAATGGGGATATTATAACTTTGTTCCCACGTATAATTAATTAGGGGGTGTTATTCACTCATGGAGTTAAAGTCAATTCTTAAAGGTTTAGATTTGATTTTTGATATTGGTTTTTAACAATTTGTTTGTGTGGAGTTCAAAATCTCTGCAGTATATCTTGGATTATGATTCTAATAATTTACTCATGAAACTCCAAAGATGTTTCATTTCAAATGATTTGATATACAAAGATTTTACAAGTCTTTTAAGTTTGAATAACACAGGATTTTAATGAATCATTTTAAATCTTAGTTGAATAACACCAAACTTTAAAATCTATTAGAGTTAGATTTAGAATCATTAGGTTAATAACACTGTATTAGTGTTGGATTTCAATTCTATTAAAATCCATCATTGAATAACACCACCTTAGTTTACAGAAAATACCATAATCAAGAGGAGAATCACAAAATAATGATGTATTGTCATTGCGTTGATGTTTAATTTTGGAAAATGAAGATATTTGTAGTTTGTTTCAGTGAATACTAAAACAGTTAATGTATTTTACCGACATAATTAAATACATTAATAAGAAGGATATTTGGGGTCAAATCAAAACTTAGATACTTATTATTTTTTGTTTTTTCCACAAGAAACAGAAACTAAAAACCACTAGTCAAAAACCACCCTTGTATTTCTCCTAGTCTCTAATCCCACAACTATATAAAAACCTCTCCCATTCTCATTTTGTTACTCATCCCAAAAATAAAAGAGTCTCTCACACACACACATACACATACACATACGTACTTGACAGTTTTTTTTCAATTTCTCTGTTAGTGAACTCAAATCTTCCAATTTCTATGGACACCAAAATCGGATCGATCGATTACTGCAAGCCGACGAATGGCGACGTCGGTAGTCCACCAAACGGCTCCGTCTCAACAATCCACAACTCTGTTCCTTCCTCCCCCATCACCGTCAACTCATGCGACGCGACTATCGGTCGTTACTTAGCTCGCCGTCTCGTCCAAGCCGGCGTGACCGATATCTTCTCTGTTCCCGGCGATTTCAACCTCACTTTGCTTGATCACCTCATGGCTGAGCCGGAGCTTAATCTAATCGGCTGTTGTAACGAGCTTAACGCCGGTTACGCTGCCGACGGTTACGCTAGATCTCGTGGAGTCGGCGCTTGCGTTGTCACCTTCACCGTTGGTGGACTCAGCGTTTTGAACGCGATCGCTGGTGCTTACAGCGAGAATCTTCCGCTTATCTGTATCGTCGGAGGTCCTAACTCTAACGATTATGGCACCAACCGGATTCTTCATCACACCATCGGATTACCTGATTTCAGCCAAGAGCTTAGGTGCTTCCAAACGGTGACTTGTTATCAGGTAAACACAAAATCAGATCTAATTAGAGAAATTTTGAAGCTTAGCCTCGGATTATGAATGATTTTGGTTCTGTTTTTGTTTCTCAGGCGGTGGTGAACAATTTGGAAGATGCTCATGAACAGATTGATACAGCGATATCAACAGCTTTGAAAGAGAGCAAGCCTGCGTATATAAGCATAAGCTGTAACTTAGCAGCGATTCCTCATCATACATTTAGCCGTGCTCCAGTCCCTTTTTCTCTAGCTCCTAGGTAATTATTATACTTACTCTGATTCAATCCTCTGTTTCTACAAGAATCAAAACTCACAAATGTTTTTTTTATCAGATTGAGCAACAAGATGGGTCTAGAAGCTGCGGTGGAAGCAACTTTGGAGTTTCTGAATAAGGCTGTGAAGCCAGTTATGGTTGGTGGTCCTAAGTTGCGTGTGGCTAAAGCTTGTGATGTCTTTGTTGAGCTAGCTGATGCTTCTGGCTATGCTATGGCGGCGATGCCTTCTGCTAAAGGCCTTGTACCAGAGCACCATCCTCATTTCATTGGCACTTATTGGGGAGCAGTGAGCACTCCTTTTTGCTCTGAGATTGTGGAGTCTGCGGATGCTTACATTTTTGCAGGTCCAATCTTCAACGACTATAGCTCTGTGGGTTACTCGCTTCTCCTCAAGAAAGAAAAAGCCATCATTGTGCATCCTGATCGTGTCACTGTGGCTAATGGTCCAACGTTTGGATGCGTTCAGATGAGCGATTTCTTCAGGGAATTGGCTAAGAGGGTGAAGCGTAATGAGACTGCTTATGAGAACTACCATAGGATCTTTGTTCCTGAAGGTAAGCCATTGAAGTGCGAATCAAAAGAGCCATTAAGAGTTAATACAATGTTCCAACACATTCAGAAGATGCTCTCTAGTGAAACCGCTGTGATTGCTGAAACCGGTGATTCTTGGTTCAATTGCCAGAAACTAAAGTTGCCAAGAGGCTGTGGGTAAGTATCCAGACAAAACAGACTGAATCTTATACATTCTGTAATAGTGAAATAAGCACAAGATTTGAATCTTCTTTCTTCATTGTAGATACGAGTTTCAGATGCAGTATGGATCGATTGGGTGGTCTGTTGGTGCAACTCTAGGATACGCACAGGCATCACCAGAGAAGCGAGTGTTGGCATTCATCGGTGACGGGAGTTTCCAAGTGACGGCTCAGGACATATCAACAATGCTGCGTAATCGACAGAAGACGATCATCTTCTTGATTAACAATGGTGGCTACACCATTGAAGTAGAGATTCATGATGGTCCTTATAACGTGATTAAGAACTGGAACTACACTGGTCTCGTTGACGCCATTCATAACGGTGAAGGCAATTGCTGGACTACAAAGGTAACTGAAACGATTGATGACAGTGGAATTTAACCAAAATTTGGTTATAAACTAACATAATTAATCTGTGTGTGTTTGACAGGTGAGATACGAGGAGGAGTTAGTGGAGGCGATCAAGACAGCAACAGTGGAGAAGAAAGATTGTCTATGTTTCATAGAAGTACTTCTTCATAAGGATGATACAAGCAAAGAGTTGCTTGAGTGGGGCTCACGCGTATCTGCTGCTAATAGCCGTCCTCCCAATCCTCAGTAGAAGAATCAACACAGAATCTTCACTGCTTCTTACCAATTCATTGACTTTGTTTTCTGATGAATGTTGTTGATCTTTCGACCATCGTGTTTGGAACTTATTAGTATCTCTTTCCAATTAGTACGCTTTATTGTGGAATAAAGTAAATTTCCTTTTCCAGTTTCCACTATTTATAAGCTCATTAGTTGACTAAATCCAAATGGTTCAATTTAAACATAAAATATCAATCATATGATCTTTTTTTGCATTCAAAATTCAAACCAATCAGGCTTTGCTAGAAACTGAATCTGAACCAAAACCACCAGCCTAGTGAAGAATACCATCCAACTTGTGTAATGATTTCGATCGACTGGAAAATATATATGTTAGTTATAAAGGGATTAAAATCATATCATATATATATGTTGTTAGCTTAAGGTTCCTACAAATAACATGTATTAACACATTAGTTCTGTATCATGGGAGAGAGTGACCTTCTGTTTAAGATGCTCATTCATGTCTCTGTATGTATCTAAGTTTAAACAGGAGAGATTTTGACAGTCAACGGGCATCTTAAGGATCAACAAAACAACAAAAGTAAAAAAAATGAATGGTTAAGATTCCCAAACTCAGGCAAGAGATTTTCCTGACCATTCTCGCTCCCTTCGTTTTTGTTTGGCTTGCATTCTGTTGAACTTCTCTTTTCCCTTTTCAAGAAGAGGGTCGACCACCACATACGCATCTGGATCATCCCTGCGCGACATTTTATCCTGCAAGATATTTTCACATTGTCAGGTTCTTCCACAGGACATGAGAAACAAATACATAGCTCAACCTTCTGATGAAATTATTTGGGATTAGCATATACTATCCTATGAACTACTGGATTTTCGATAACGTAGTACTACATCCATTAGATCTGCACTCAAGTGAGATGGAACCTTAGAGATTTACCTTGCCACGCTCAGGAGCAAACTTGAGCTTTACTTTCTTCCAATCAGAGAGATCTTCTTCTTTATTGTCTACTGGTTCACTACTCGAGGTAAACGCTACTGGTTCATTACTCGAGGTAAACGGTTTTGCAGATATAGACTGCTTAAACTTCTCGAGTTTTGCTAACACCTGAAGAAAACGCAGGAGGGAAACGGTGATCAGTTCAAGGAACAGCTGAAAGAGTATCAAATTAGATGAGTGTGTAAACCCTAGACCCAGAATCTAAGAAATTGTCTTCTAATACTGTTGCTCTGACAAAATTAGATTTAACTTTTAGGGAATAAGTATGCCACAACAAAGCAAGGACAAGGTTTGGTAAGCGAACAAAGGAATATATAATCAATCAGAAAATAAGTGTAAAAATAAGCCACAAATCTGGTAAACAACTTACAGCATCCTCATTTCCTTGCAGTCTGCGTTTTTTCAACTTATGCAACTGCCGGGCGCGTTCGGAAGCGTTGTAAAGCTGTAAATCAGTGTCTCCTTTCTCCATATGTTCGGATTTGGCTTCTGAGCCTATTCCTTTTTTCTTCAAGGATAACTTTTCCATCCTTGGTTTCTCGTCTTCACTACTTACAACATCAGACCTGTGAATAGCCAAACTAATGAGTCAATGACTTACATCACTGGTTACACCATCATGAACTAAAGCAAAACATATTCAGGCATTCATGCCAAAAAAGCAAGCAGATTCGTGTGAAAGGTTCTATTACTAAATAAAGAATAAATTATTGTGCATAGATGAGAGCATTCGTGACATTTTTAACTAGAGTAGATTAATAGTATTCTAAAGAACAATGAACCAGACATGTTGACTAAGCCACAAAACTTGGAAGGCAAATGATCAGAGACAATAGCGAATAACTGTGGGTGTCATTACCTTTGCGTAGACTCTTCACGGCCTTTCAGACTAGAGCTCTCTGTTAAGAAAACAACCACAAGTATATTATAATTAGAATCTACAGAAATAACTAGAGATAATATAAAGAACATGCATGAGGAACAGAGAGAGCTGTATATTATTCTCTGGTAATACTTGGTGCCAAACCTAAAATCAACAAATCGTGGTTGATAAACAGATAACATCCCTAAGCATAGACATGATTGCTTGATATGATTGAGAATTTGATTATGCAAATCAAGAATTGCCATAAGTTTAATATTTGAGGATGTCACGATACAGAGAGATGGCAAACGTAATTACTTTTTGTCTGAGTTGGTTTTGAAGGCGTATCTCCCATCTCCTTCCTTCTGCTGAGCACTTGATTCCTCATCTTTGCATCAAATTTAGTCTCATCTTCATCATCATCGTCATCATCACTATGTCCAACTGTATCAGATACAGAAAAGCTTTTATCTTTTTGAGCCGCTTCTTTCTTAGTATTCAGAGCTTCTCGCACAGATAGTACCTCCTTCGACTCAGATGCATTCTGCAATGTAAAAATACATCAGAAAGTCAAGATTGCTTGTGAAAACAGAGAACGACAACCATAAAAAAAAACTTTAGTTTTCGGTCTAACGCCCATGGTAGACTGCTAGGCAGACTACACAGCAACAAAATTAAAGAACTGTACGCATCATTACATATAGCAACCATGAGAAACTGCCCACGAATATTCCATAATATGGCAGATAAATAAGTCACCTCAGTTTTTTTATAACGCTTAGCCTACACTTTCACACAACAAAATGGGGAATTAAAGATGGGAAAAGTTAACACCACAAACAAGATAAATTGTATTATTACCCGTTCTTTATCTGTAGCTTCTGCCTTCAAAAGTCGAGGATCATTCAATACGTCATGACTGCTCTTAATCTTTTGCTTTACAACAGCCAGTTCCTTCTCCTCTTCCTCAGCTTCTTCTCCGAATGATAGAAGATTCAATTTCCTGATTATCACAAAGACAACAAAAAAAGTCTCAAAAGAACAGCCAAAGCAAAATTATAGCTAAAGTTATGGAATGAGCATGGATAGCATCTTACTTCACGGGCTTTTTCGGGGGTTCCTTTATTTCAGCAACAGATTCTTGTGATGTCTTTGCCAACACTCTAGGAACGATATCTTCGAAAGGGTTCCACAAAACCTGCCAAAAAAATATACAGAATTTTTGGAAAAACCATCACAAGACTGACACACCAAAGAATGAGTATCAATCAGAGAACATCCTCAATATGAGGACATCAACATTGTCGTTTAACAGCTATAACAGATCTAGCATTAACAATCCTTACCTCAACAGATAATATTTTCGGAGCAGGATCCAGAGGCCGATCATCTTTACCCGTGTCAACCTCTCCTAGTCTTAAAAGATTGTAGATAGAATCGCCCGTTACCTAAAAGCATTAGAAACAAGTTGCAGCTAAACATGATCAAGAACTAGAAAATAATAATTGGACGAAGCAGAATCAACAAAACAAAAGAAGCAATTTGCTATACCTTGCCAAAGATAGTGTGCTTCTTATCAAGCCAATCAGACTTATCCAAAGTAAAAAAGAACTGACTTCCATTAGAATTCGGTGAGCTCGCATTAGCCATGGCTACAATCCCACGGTGGTTAAATCTCAATCTTGAATGGAATTCATCGGCAAATACACCTCCATATATACTCTCTCCACCTGTTACATATATCACTCATAAAATTCAATTGACCTAATCCAGTGAGCAATCAGAAGAAAATTGACACGAACACTTTTCAAGGTAAAGGTGTGAAGAAACAAATCAGAGGACGTAGAAATTACCGGTGCCGGAGCCGGTGGGATCGCCGCCTTGAACGAGAAATCCGGGAATAACACGGTGGAAGATGGTGTTGTCGAAGTAACCCTCGAGACATAGTTGAACGAAGTTCCGTACGGATTTGGGGGCTTCCTTAGGCCAAAGCTCGACGTCGATTGGACCATGAGTTGTATTCACAATGACCTTTCCCTTTGTCGGAGGCTCTAGCACGTACACCGTCGACATCTCCTCCTCCTCTCACACACTTCTTCTCCGAGATACCTCTCAGGCGAAAATAGCGTAATTATAGGCAAAGCACGAGGCCCAATTAAACAATCTAAACACAGTGGCTAATTATATGCAAAGCAGAAAGCCCAATTCAACAATTAAAACCCAGTCCATTATCAAACAAGAAACAATTTTTTTTTTTTCTTGTCAACAAGAAACATTATGTTTAAAATCTGTAAGTTATTCCAATGATTTATTTATTTTTTTTGGGTTATATGTATATATCAAGTATTTGGGAAGATTTGTGTCAGACTGAAAAATTTTATGTTACTTCATTTATGAGTTTTTTATATAACAAATTTGGTGTTATTGGTAAAAAAAATTCCTAAATTCACCTATAAGATCATGAAAAATGAAAATCTATTCAAACTTAAATAATTAAATCCCCATATTTATTTTTTGTGTCCGAAACAAAGTTGTTGTCTTCATAATTCGGTCGAAAAGGATCAAAATTCTTTAGGTTTGGTAGAACCGTAGAAGTATTTCCTAGAAACATCCCATGCATCTCTATCACTAAGTGGAAGATCAATATAATTAGAGAAAGTCTTCAAGCTAGAGTTGAGTGGTACTCCAATGTTTGGACTTTTATCTTTCAAAGTCTCCAACTTCAAAACTAGGATAGTTTCGAGGAAAGTCAATGGTACAATTCTATAAACTTTGCCTATAAAAAAAACTGTATAAATTTGAGACGTACGACATATCCATGTAAATAAAACGATCCAGTTGAACATGTTCGTATCGATGAGAATAAAACTTTATCACGGTTTTAACTAAACTAATTTCTTACTGTTGTGTGGACTTGTATGACGAATTATCTATTTAGATATGCGATGTTAAATTATAGATTAAAACTTTAAAGATATAAAAATTTGAGTAGTAGTAGATATTCTTTAACAATTTAAAATTTATAGGTTATGTTTGACCATTTGTAGGATAATAATGTATTCAATAGTCTCATAAACTCTGCCTTCGAAAAAAATAAAACTCTGCGTCTGACCAAAAAAATATATATATTGGCTTTAATGATAGACAGGTTTTTGAGAAAGAAAGGACACACTTATTTGATTTAGTATTTCTAAGATAAAATAGACATGTTTATATTGTACAATTCGCAAATTGACAACTTGACTTCTTTCTTTCGACCGCTTGACTTTTTGATGAAGTATGACCGGTTAATTAAAGCCTAATTCAATTCTTTCATAATCTTCTTCTTGGATATAGACCTTGTGTAAAGATTTGATAGAGGCTTGTTTTCAAATGTAACACCGTTGGGTAACTCTGAAATAACACAAGTTCACATAAAGTTCTCAAATGTAAAATGTTTTTGTACCTCGCAAATTTGGACATTCGTGAATCGTGAGTTACGGTAACGCTGCAGTTATATATCTACCTGAACTTTTGTGTGACCTAAACTTCACTGTTCGATAATTAATATGTAAACCCTTTGAATTATTGTGTACAATATATGAGTTATTTATCTAATTATACAAGAAAGACGAGATTATGTGTTTTGTCTTATCTCAATAACTTCCATGAACTTACCTTCGTTAGCCTCCATCTTTAATGACTCCCCACATACTCTGTTTTCTAGCTAGCCTACTCTCACTATTTTGTCTCCTTTCGTAAAATTCCACATTTTCAAACACGCCAACTTTGAATATTCCGTAATATTTTTCCGTATTCAACGATTTTGCAAAATCGACGACTTCTTACTCTCCTATAATAAGTCTTCAACTGCCTACTCTTACATATATATATGTTAAGATCTCTTAAACCTCTGGTGGTCATCATATTCACATCCTTCGTTTAGTTTATCTACAAAGAATAAGAATCATTCTTTTATTCTTTATTCTTTCAAGCTTCTCTGTTTCTTGTAAAAACAAAGGAACGTTTGTTGTGTTTTATGCCCACAAGGTACTTCTTGTTAAAATGTTTGAATGAGACCAATTATTGGTTGGTATAGCTAATATTAATGCGACTACAGTTTGTTTAATTAATGTGTGCAGGGGATTTCTATATTAAATAACTTTTGGAATTATCCTTTCGTTATATTTGTGGCCATGGGTCTTGAAGTTGGGTCCTTAAGCTTCAAACTTAGAGACGGAGGCTTGACATCAAGAACCAAAAGTTTCAAGAGAGACGATACTGCTAGGCACCAGAACTCTCCTAAGAGTACTATGGAGCGGTCGTTGAGTTTCAACAGCTGGGAGGTTCCTAAAGAAACCAAGACTGATTCAAATTTTGAGGTTTTGGAGACAAAGAAGTCAACGCCTAACACTTTGAATGGAAGAAATTGTGAGAGAATCCAAATCAAGAAACCCACAGTTACTCCACCTGAGCCTTTTGTATTCTTCTCCCCTAGACCGGTCACCGAGCTTGATGCAGCTGCAACTACGCTTCAAAAGGTGTACAAGAGTTACAGGACCAGAAGGAATTTAGCAGATTGTGCGGTCGTTGTTGAGGAGCTCTGGTGAGTTTCTTGATTGATCTTCTTCTTTTTTTAATGTCTTTTAAAGATGTTTACTTTAACCCTTGGTATTGCTTGAAATGTTGTAGGTGGAGGACTCTGGAAGGTGCAGCTTTGGATTTGAGCTCTGTATCTTTCTTTGGAGAAGAAAAACATGAGACCGCTGTTTCGAAATGGGCACGAGCTAGAAAACGAGCTGCTAAGGTCTGACATCATTTTATCTCTGTTTACTTACAAGTCAAGGTGGTAATAGTAGATCTATATCTCTCTTATTATGAAAAACTAACGTGGGTCTCACTTTTGTTAGGTTGGGAAAGGCTTATCAAAAGATGAAAAGGCTCAGAAATTAGCACTTCAGCATTGGCTTGAAGCTGTAAGTCCCCATAATCTAAATATCTTTGTAACTTTATATCAAAGTTATGGTTTGTGAAGAAACAAATTAATGAGTTTAGTAACAAAACAAAAGATCAAAAAGTTATTAGTTCCTTTTGGTTTTGTTAGGTTAATCTAATGATCCCTCTCTTACAATTACAGATTGACCCACGTCATCGTTATGGCCACAACTTACACTTCTATTATGATGTCTGGTCAGCAAGTAAGAGCTCACAGCCATTCTTTTACTGGTAAGGACTTAGATCCAAATTCCATCTTTAGATCTTCCTGTCATTGAATGTGTTCTAAACTCTGTTTTCACTGATTTGAAACTAAAGGTTGGACATAGGAGACGGCAAAGATGTAAATCTTGAGAAACACCCTAGAAGTGTTCTACAAAAACAATGCATCAGATATCTCGGACCGGTGAGTTTTTTATCTGATTTGACTCGACCATACTAATAAGCTATAGCTCTTTATAACTCATCAACCTATGTGTTTCTTTGAAACCTGCAGATGGAGAGAGAAGCATATGAAGTGATAGTGGAAGATGGGAGACTAATATATAAACAGAGCATGGCTCTGATCAATTCAACAGAGGAATCCAAGTCGATTTTTGTACTTAGCACGACTCGAAACTTATACGTAGGGATTAAAAAGAAAGGTCTTTTCCAGCACTCTAGTTTCTTATCTGGAGGCGCCACAACCGCTGCAGGAAGATTAGTCGCCCGCGATGGGATCCTTGAGGTACTTAAATTACATGTCTTTGTTTCTCCCTCGGCATTGAATCTCTTAATATGTTATGTAAACTAAAATGTCTCGTACACCTTTTGTTTCCTCAGGCTATATGGCCATATAGTGGACACTATCTCCCAACAGAAGACAACTTTAAAGAGTTCATAAGCTTCTTAGAGGAGCACAATGTTGATCTCACCAATGTCAAGGTACGGAAATAAAAATTATGAGATCGGTCTTTGTGTTATTGGCATCAAGAGAATGGTTATATTCACGAGTGTTGTTGAATCTGAATTGCAGAGATGTTCTGTGAATGAGGAATATTCGTCATTCAAATCAACTGCAGATGAAGAAGAAGAAAGAAAGGAAGTCTCAGAAGAAATTGAGATGCCTTCAGAGCAGGAAGAGAGAGCGAGACATGTGTTTGATCCTGTAAAGAGACTGTCTTGTAAATGGACAAGTGGATATGGTCCAAGAATTGGGTGTGTTAGAGATTACCCAATGGAGCTACAGGCACAAGCACTGGAGCAAGTCAGTCTCTCTCCTCGGGTTTCGCCAGCTAATTCTTATGGACCAATTCCATCTCCAAGGCCTAGTCCTAAAGTGAGGGTGTCTCCACGCTTAGCATACATGGGAATCCCAAGCCCTAGGGCTGTAAAGTGTTGAAATTTAAAACACACGTTTTTACTTGTTATCCAAGAAAGGGTGGGGTTAGAAGAGAAGAGAAACTAACCTCCATTTTTCTTTCTAGTTACTTTAATTTCTTCTGTATATTTCTCGAGTATTGCAACATTTTGTTGTTCTTTTGATAAATTCTCTGGTTAGATCAAGACTTGATAATGCTAGAGATAGACACAGTCGACTTGTGGCCCATTTGGGTAAATAATTAATTAAAATTTATGGAGAAATTAACATTTTTGAATTTTTGTTAGAAAGTAATGGTATGATAGTAAAACTATTTAAAAATAATTTTACTTTCCTTTATTGTATCGTGTATGTAGAATTTTAGGGAAACATTATTAGCCCATACAGAATAATGTACAACTTAACGTAATTCCCCTGTTTTACTATAGTCTATGTACTTTCCCCTTTTTGGTCAGAGTCTTTCCTTTTTTTATTTTTTTTAACAAGCACGTATTGTGAAAACGAAACTTTCAGTTTTAGCCTTTATAACATGTAGTTTCTTTCATCAATTACGTTATGGAGACAATGTTACTTTCCTTAAGAAAAATAATTACTTTCCCGAATATATTTTACGGTTCTCGTATATATAAATGCAAAGAAGGGAAGGGAAAGAGTAACTAGCTATGAGGTCGGAAACAGGCATGGAACTTCCGTATGATGTAGAAATCGAAATCTTGCAGAGACTTCCAGTGAAACCTCTGCGTCGATTAGAATTGGTTTCAAAAAACTGGAGGAGGCTGATAAGATCTCGATATTTCATGGAACGGTACATGGTTCATCAGAAATCCAAACATCGTTTCAAAATCCTTGCTAAGATCATAGTCGTGGACCCGTTGGTTCTTAAAGTTTCCCCAAAACCTCGACTGTTCCTCCGTTCATCAGACGATGATCCCGAATTTACCTATGTGCTGCTTGAAAATAACGAAGTTGTTGCTACTTGTCTCTCATGCGACGGTTTCATCTGCTGTCCGAGACCTGGTAACAAGTATCTGTTTATAAACCCCGCTACGGGTCAGAAAATCCAAGCCGAACAACGAAGTCTTTGTCACCGTCCACAGACATTTGAAAGTCATGTAACTGTGCCCTTCATATGCAGATACAGCATAGATTTTCTTGGTTACCGCATGTGTACGTAACATTTACTGCCTTCGTTTATTTTATTTTTTTCAATTATCTTTCACAAGAAGAGTTTATTATAATGATTCAGTCAGTCAGAAGAGTCTTGTTTTTCTTCTTTAATTAGCTAATTAAGATTGTATGTGCATGCAATGCAATGTAATTTGTATTATTTCTTACATGTAGCTAATCATCAGTTTCCTAGTCCGGCGATTGACTTGTTGGGATTTGGGAGAGACAGAGTGAGCGGAGATTATAAACTTGTTAGGTTATTTGAACGGCCTGGGGAGAATACGGCATGCACAGAATGCGAGGTTCTTTCGCTTAAGACATGGGAATGGAGATACATAAGCCATGTTCCTATACCTTGCTTTAACGGACAACCTTCAGCTAGCGTTAACGGATCCATCTATTGGTTCACTGTTTATCTATGGTTAACAGATGCAGAGTATTCAACAACGGCCAAGATCATAGCATTTGATCTTCACACACACAGATTCCGTGCAGTCCATCACCCTCCTTTCGGTGCTAGAACACCCTCATATATAATTAATCTCATGAACTTAAGGGATCAAGTATGGATGGTAGAGCAAACACTTGACTGTTTGGAGATGTGGAGCATGGATGGAGGAGGAGGCGCATGGGAAAAAATGTATTCAATTGATCTAAAAAGCTATGCGATGCCTAATCTGGAGGTGCTTATGCCAATTGAAATCTGCGGCGACGGAAAGGTGTTGATTAACGGTAAGAAGCCAAATAATTCAAATCACTGGGATTTGAAAGAAAGGTTGCTCAAATATGATCCTCGTACTAAAACTTTGCTTCTCGCCGACCATCAAACTTTTGCCCGTGTCCCTTACTTCCAAACTTGGGTCCTTGCTCCCTACTTCCAGTCTCTCTTCTCTTTCGATACACTTTAATTACTAGTCTAGATCATCTTCTCTTCTTTTATTTTATTTCTTTTGTTTCTTATATGACATTTTGATCATTTTACTCACATTTCAAACTGATGCAGAGTATACCCTATATCTTTCTTTTTTTGAATCACGACTTAGCTAAATGAGTATTCAAAAAACATTATATAGTTTTATTTTATAGATTTAATATTTTAGTTTATTGTTACTTACTTTTGTATTTATTTATTATAACTTAAACAAAGAATACCTACATATATCATATTTTGGACTGATCTAGATCCAGATATTTGATATTCTAAGGTATCTTGTCCGTGTGATATCCTGGTTTGAAATCTCCTCTACCGAAGCTTTTCTAAAATTCAAAGTCAAGACATATAAAATTCTAAACTTAAGACTTGAATCTATATATACACTCTAGCTACTTCCAGTCTCTCTTCTCTTTCGATACACTTTAATTAGTAGTCTAGATCATCTTCTCTTCTTTATTTGTAATTTCTTTTGTTTCTTATATAACATTTTGATCATTTTACTCACATTTCAAACTGATGCAGCCCATATCCAACATTCTTGCAAATATATCAGAACCGCAAGGAAATACGAATGTGCTAGAGAAAAAAAATCATAAATCACAATCAGGAGCTCTTATCAAACAAAATTCTACTAATTAATCTAACAATACAAATTAAGGAGAAATTCTAGCAGAAAAATGCTTAAACTCGTAGGTGGAGCAAATGAAGAAGAAAAGATTAGAAAACGTAAGAGTGCCAAAGAAACTGCTTAGAAACGAAACTCACAGGAGAACCGTTGTTAAGAGAGGCAACGGTATTCCTGATGGTTCCGCCGCCACGTTACGCCGCCGCGTTATGGGATCTACCGGCGGACCCATGTTGCAAGTAGGGGGGTCAAACTGACACACCTAAAATATATAAACCTTATGTTTTACACATATAGCTATGTTGCACCCCTAAAGTTTGAGGACGTAAGTTCGATTCATCCACTAAATTTTTATATAAATTTTACCAAAATTTTTTTTTCTGGAGCATGTGATAATGCCCTCATTCACTCCATTATGTTTTTTTCTTTGACATGCATTTTGTTTTGTTAGTTTCAAATTCTATTAATTTACAGCTTCATGTTTTAAGGCATAATATAATTTCCTCTTTCATATAACATGTTTTTTTCTATTTTAAATCTAAAAGAACTTTATTCATCATTTAAATGATTGTTTTCTAAGTTTTAACATATTAATTTTCATAAAATGTAAAATTTGTCTCTTGTGAGTATGAATAATCAACAATTTTAATTTATTTATCCAATTCACATGAAATAAGTTTTATAATATGAAAATTTAAATAAATAATCATTATACTTGGTAAAATGTGTTACAAAATATTTAGATTTTATGATCAATGGTACTATACTATTTTCACAAAATTTAATTACCAAACAAACTATTTAAAAAGAAATTTAATTTTTAAATATATATACTATTTTATTATAACAAAAATCTGTTTTATATATTATTATTAATATCTTGTCCAAAAAAATATTGTTCACCTTGACTTTGGTCTTGGAGAAGAACTTGAGCATTGGAGTTGTGCCTTCTCCTAGAACAGACTCCAACGTGAAGGTCGTTCCCGTCTTTAACCTTTTGCCAAGTATAACATTGACAGAAGCTGCATAGGAAGGCCACTTTCCTCCATTCTTGTCCACTAGAGTTATATCTTCATTCTCCACTGCAAAGGATCTCGAAAGACGCTGCATATATAAGATGTTGATGACTAAAATTTTCCAGACGGCTAAAAAATTTAAGATGTTTAATAGTGATCATCAAAACATTTTTTCAATAAGAGAGATAAATTAGACACAAATTCCACGAGTATTATTATTAATCTAGTAATAATAATAATAATGGTTTAATATAAGACCAGCTTTGTGGGTCTTGGACTCAGTCTTGGGTGTCCGGTGCAAAAGAGCAGCGCAACGTGGCATGTGAGACCAATTCCATTGACTCTTTGTTGACTGGACCAACATGTCGAATTCATCTTTTCTAAATTAGAGTCGTGTTGTGATATGTGTGTGTTTGGTTAGTATATTATAGTAGTAAATATATACCACACCAACAAACATGGATTACTTGCACATTAATTTAACGGTCACTAACTAACATGTGGAAGTCGTATTCACTATCTGCTGCTAAATTAATTAGGGCATGCATGGCTCTGCTAACTTTAAAGTTTCCTTTCATTTACTCTGCTAAGTTGAAAGGTCCACTAACTAATATGCCAAAATTGGTTGGGATTTAATTACCTTACATGTACTGGATTTAGTAACACACACATCATACCATTATTTATTATATATTTTAACAATTACGTAGTATACCTTTTCAAACTGATGCAAAAAAAAAAAAAAAAAAAAAACATAGATCATACAAAACTTCGTTTTTGTCAACGTAGGATTTTCGTAACACAATTTGTTATAAATCGGTCAAGTTCTGTCGCATCATTTCAATGTTCAGACTGACGCTTGCTGCTCCATGCCATCCTTTGGTCCCAACTCCCAACTATATATAAACTTTTTCTCCCTTCTCAATCGTAAACATCGAGTCAAGTCTCTAAGGCGAGTCATGCGGAGAGGTAAGGTTGCTAACGGTTTGGGTGGGATTCACACAACAACAAAGTCAAAAGCCGAAGAGAGTAAGCTAGCAGGTCGGGCTTTCATAAAGAAAGAGCCAACGAGGAGGTAGTACGTACGTAAAAGAAGAAAAACTTGGAATCTGCGAAGAGGGTTTTCGTCAAAGTCGCATGCAGGACCAGATGAAGGAGTCCTTCGAACAGCAACTCAAACTCACGGTACCTTAATTACGTTTGGTTTTCTTCCTTTTTGATCTTAATCTAGTCGATATATGTTTCAAAACGACCAAGCAAAAATAAATAAAGAAAAGCATATGGAAAAAACACATTTTTAAGTATTTGTAGAGGATAAATAAATAAAGCACTCGAGTGAAAACTTCAAAAGTAAGTTCTTCCTTCGGTAAATAACACGTGTAATTATTGACGTGGCAGCCACGAAAACTGTAAAATATTTATCTCCGAAAAAGAAAAAAGAAGAGAGTCAGAGAGAGTCAATCAGTCAAAAGTAAAACTTTGTACAAAAACAATTTGGAGGTCACGTATACGATTTTTATTCCAAAAACAATAAAAGTACTAACGTATATACGAGTAAAAATACAGTTTGACAAAGAGAAAAGTAATTATTTTTGAAAAAAAAAAAAGAAGAAGAAGAATAAGAAGCAGCTCAAAGCATTGTAAAACCCTAAGTCCAAACTATTACCACCACCGCCGATTCTGTGTACGCTTCCGATTTCTCTGCTTCTTGCATATCGTTACCGATTTATCTGCTTTCGTTGCTTGATGTAAAATCATTTCCCCAATTTCTCTACTTTCTTTGCTTGATTTTAAAAATCCGTAATTTCAGCGCTAATCGGGTTTTGTAGAATCTTTGATTTGAACACAAATCCGGTATTTTTGGTCATGGCTATGACAAAACAAAATCTATTTGGTTACATTTGGAAACTAGTCGTCGCCCTTACCTAGATCTCGTCAGTGTTTCTTTGTTTCCTTTTTCGTAACTCCGAGTTTTGGGTTTTGGATATTTGGTTGGTTATGTGGATAATAAAGTCTTGTTTTAGTACAGATATGCTCTGTTTCTTTGTTCTTACCTGGGTCGTGTTTCCAGAATTTCGTAGAAGAGAGAACGAGCACTTGCTAATCATGGACGAAGCAGGTAGGATGAGGAGGCATGATGAAACCATGACACTCATAAAGAATTACCTTGAGCAACACGGAATGTCCAGCACGGTTCAAGCGTGAGTACTGTTAGATTTTGTTATGATTTTCCTACAACAACAGTGTGTTTTACTCCTAACAATTTCATTGTCTCTGTGTTTTTTCCCTCTGTGTTGTGTTAGTCTGGATATTGAGAGGGGAAAGCTACCCAATCTTGCAACTTTTACATCCTTGCTACTTGGTGGTAACTTTGAAGACGCTGTGGCTTATTTTGGCCAATTTCAGAAGGAAGGTTCTCTAGCCTCCTGCCACATCTTATATTTCATCTGGCGGCAATTGTTTTGGGAGCTTCTTTCTATGTAAGGTGTCTCAATTTCTTCTCCTTGTTCTGTTTTGTGTTTTTATAACAAGTTCTTGAGTTATTTTGTTCTTGTTTTTCTTTTTCTATGTAGGAATAACAGAATCCAAGCCAAAACAGTTTTGTTCATCCACATGTTTCCCAGTTCACGAGTGGATCTTTCTTTGATACATGATTATGACAAACTGAAGATTTCATACGAGTATGTGATTCTCATATGCTTGTATATACTTGCTAATGTGTGTTGTGTTATGATATGATGGTATTTCTGTTTGTTGTGTTATGATATGATGGTATTTCTGTTTGTTGTGTTATGCATCTGTATGTATGCTTTGTGTGTTCTGATATGTCTTGTGATGGTTGCTCGTAACTCTTATTTCAGGAACAACACAATACCTACTGTTGATGTAGAGAGTGAAAGGGCAAAAGTGGTTAAATATGTGGAGAACCAAATCCAACGCGATGTAGCTCTCAGGTCCATGTTCTATCCAACAATCATGGAGGGACAAAATAGACTACAAACCCTCTTAGAACAGAGGTATATATTTACTTCTTACTTTTCTTTTCTTCCAATCTTGGTTTCTCCTCGTTGCTGTTGTATTTTCTTTTCTTTCTGTTGTAGCGTGAACTGGCAGCATAGAGATTGCGTTCATAGCACCGGATTTACGTCGTTGCTGAATGATCACCACTGCCAGCCCCCTCCAGCCAACAACAATACGGATCTGAACGCATCATCATCAAGAGGCGGATTTGATGACGGGATGATACATGAGTTTGGCCAGCCCACCCAACACTCACCGTCATTCGAATTTACTTTTGATTCTGATGATGCAAACATAAATGAACTCTTTGATGGCTTAGTAGTACCTTCTCCTTTCCCTAAGGAAGTGATGAAAGTGCTTAACCTAAGTCATGTCACCGGTATGGAGTTTCATCCTCAATTACCTCTAATCCTTGGTAAGTTGTTTTGTAGTTCTTTGTAAATCTACTATAACACACTAATCATTATGTCTTTCTAATCTCAGTTTTTCTAATTTCAGTTTGCACAACATCAGGTGAAATTAAACTGTTTAAGCTCAATGCATCAAATTACCCTAATGGAAAGGAGTTTAAGATCTGGAAATTCAAAGCATTATCACAGGAGTTAAAGGTATGTTTCAATGTAAAATTGGGAGTTATTAATCATTACAACTCCAATACTAACTAATTTTCAAAACTTTAGGACGATTTTGTTAAGAAAGAGCGTAAAACTGCAGGAGCTCTATGTGTGGCTTGGGGATCTCACGGAAACAACACAAATTATGGTAAGAGTTTTACTAATAGATTCTCTTAATTGATATTCATACTTAAACAACTTACATTTCTATTTACGCCACTTCTTTGTTGTTTGTTTTCAGCTGTGGGTTTCTGTGAAGGTTTAGTTCAAACTTACAACTATACTCATGATAATCCGACTAAGCAACACCTTGAGGTTTGTATCAAAATAAATTGTTATATATACATAGAAGAAAAAGCTTATATATCTAACATAATTCAATCTAAATATTGACTAGATTGAGGCACATAGTGGGCCTGTCAATGATATCGTGTTCTATAGTTCTCAAGGAGAGCTAAAGATAGTAACCTGTGGAGATGACAAACACATTAAGGCTTGGAATTCATCAGATGGGTTAGTGTATTGGAAATTGACTCATACAGCTCCATTGAATTCTCTTGCTTTGCACCAAGATGGAAACAAAGTGGTAAAGATCCATCCATTTTTGCTAATGTTGTCTACTTATACTTAAAACAATGAACTCATAGTGTTATTTTAATTTCAGCAACTCTTTATCTCGGATGTGTTTGGAAGTGCTATAAAACCAAACATAGGATATGAAGGACAACTTGATTGTTATCCACTTCTTTTCCCTAGTGATATGAATGCTAGGCTTGAGCTCAAGTTTAGCGGCGATGGAAAGAGGTGAGTTGAATATAGATAGAGTCATTTCAGTTATGTTTTACAAAGTTAATCTCATTTTTATCTTGCCAGATTGTTCTATTGTGGTCCGGGTCGCTTGGTTGAGGTTGATAGAGTATCTTTCGAGACTAGGAGAAGCTACAACAGCGTTATGAATCCTCAAACAAAACGCATGGATATTTGCAAGAATGGGTATATAGCCGTTGGCGATGAGCATTCTGTCAAAGTTTGGCAGCTCGACAATGGCGAGGACTATTTCACTAGGATCTGTATAAACAATGATCGAAACTTTCCAGTAAGTTCAAAACTGTCGTGTGGTTAGTTTATTTGAAAAACATCACGACTTTGCTAATATGTTTCTCTAACATTTTACAGGAGTGTCCCATGATTAAGTTTAACAGGGAAGGCACTTTGTTAGCCGTGGTGAGCCTAAGTCACCTGAGGATTCTAGCAAACAATGATGGAAAGAGTCTCCTCTCAGACGTTGATGGAGGGCTCCCACATAGTGGAAGGTTCAGTTGTTTTAAGTGAGTGAGACATTTAAAACAGGGGAATCATTTAATGCAGTGGTCTTTTTTTGGTTTTTTTTTTTTTGTATGTGGTGGTGAATTTGCACACTATCTATGTGACTATGTCTTTGCAAGTGGGTTTGGTTTTGGTGGTAAAACGATTGAAAGATGAAAGAAATCACATTAAGGGAAACATTCTTGTTCTGCAGAAAAGAGAGTGTTTTGTGCTATATACTTAGAGAGACCCTTAAGCAGCCAATGAATCAATGATTTGTTTACAAGTGTCACTTTCGTATTAAAAAAATTGGTCCCAACAGAAGACGAGTCCATAAATTTCTTGGAGGAGCACGATGTCGATCCACCAATGCGAAGGCAAGGAAATGAAATATATGAGATCGTTTTCATGTTATTGTCTTAAAAAGCAATGAACCAGGGTGTCTTATTGGGGCGACCAATGAATCAGTGTTTTAATTCCTTTATAATATAGATAAAGAAACAAGTCAACAGTTGCCATTAGTTACCACTTACCAGGACGTAAACGTTTAGGCATTCTCTCTCTCTCTGTCTCTCTAATCGTAATTTCGGTTTAAGAAAGGACCGGGTTTGATTGTTGAATTAGGCGCTACCTAATTTGGTCTCCGTCTAAACCGGGAGAAGGAGAAAAAGAAAGAAAGAAGAAGAAGAAGAAGAGTGTAAGAGGAGGAGACGTCGACGGTGTTATTCCCGGGTTTCAAGGCGGCGATCCCACCGGCTCCGGCACGGATAATTTCTGCTTCTGATGGTTACTCTGTATGCATCAATTGAGTGTTATGATTGATATGTATATAACAGGTGAGGTGGTGGTTATAGATATATGCCGATGAATTCCATCAACGACTGAGATTCAACCACCGAGGGATTTGTGGCCATGGCTAATGCGAGCTCACCCGATACCGATTGAGGTAAGAGTGGTAAATGCTTAATTCTATTACACAAGTGTTCCATGTTGTTGTTCTTTGGCGTGCCAGTCTTGTGATTTTCTACATTCCTTCGATAGGTTTTGTGGAACCCTTTCGAATATATTGCTCCTAGACTGTTAGCAAAGACCTCACATGAATCTGTTGCTGAAACCAAGGAACCCCAAAAGAAGCCCCTCTGAAGTGAGATATGCTTATCCATGGTCCATCAAGAGTTATTTTAGCTATATCTTTGCTTTGTGCTCTTCTTTTGGGACCAATCTTTCTCGTCTTTGTGAATATCCAGGAAATTGAATTTGCCATCTTTCGGAGGAGGAGGATACGGAACTGGCCGTTGTAAAGCAAAAGATCAAGAGCTTTCGAATGCTGAAGCTTCTCAGATAAAGAACGGGTAATAATACAGTTTATCTTGTTTGCTGCCTTTACTTTCCCCCTTCCTTTACCCGCATGGCTCATTTGTAGTCCCATCATGTTCATGTTCTTACAAACTGCAAGGTGAAATGCTGTTTGCCCTGCTGATCCGTCGGGACAAACTATTTAAAGTGCCATGAATGCCCAATGGAATATATCACTTAGTGATCAAACCTTTCAGAAAGAATCCAAATCAAGAACCCCACAGGTAATCCACCTGAGCCTTTTTTCTCTTTTCCCCTAGACCGGCCACCGAGCTTGATGCAGCTGCAACTACCTTACATAAGGTGTACAAGAGTTACCGGACTAGGAACGAGCCTAGCAGATTGTGCAGTCGTTGTTGAGGACCTCTGTTTAGTTACTTGATTGATCTTCGTCTTTTAATTGTGTTTACACTAACCATTGGTATTGCTTGAAATGTTGTAGGTGGAAAGACTCTGAATTTGAGCTCTGTGTCTTTCTTTGAAGTAGAGAAACATGAGACCGCTGATCCGAGATGTGGGCACGAGCTGCTAAGGTCTGATATCATTTTTTCTCTGCTTAGCTTTTAGGTCAAGGTGTTATTAAGTAGATCTACATCTCTCTTTACTATGGAACTCCAATGCGGGTCTCAATTCTTTTAGGTTGGGAATGGCTTATCAAAAGAGGAAAAGGCTCAGAAATTAGCTCTTCACCATTGGCTCGAAGCTGCAGATCCACACTGCCTATATCTTTGCGAGTTTTCATCAAAGTCAAGTGCCGTTATTGATATTGCTTGTCTGTGGATTTGGTTGCTGAACACAAACAAGATCAAAAACATTATTAGTTCCTTTTTATTCTGTGAACCTATTCTAATCGTCCCTCTCTTGCATTTACAGATTGACCCACGACTTGCACTTTCTATTATGATGTCTGGTCAGAGAGCAAATCACCCTCACAGCCATTCTTTTACTGGTCGACTTAGATCCAATACCCCACTCTTTACATCTTCCTGTCTTTGAATGTGTGTTCTTAACTCTGTTTTCACCGATTTGAAACTAAAGGCTGGATATAGGGGACGGCAAAGATGTAAATCTTGAGAAACACCCAGAAGCGTTCTGCAAAAAAAATGCATCAGATACTTAGGACCGGTGAGATTTATCTGATTTGACTCGACTCGACTATACTAATTAGTTAGCTCTGCCTTGTTGATTACTCATCAATTTCAAACCTACAGATGGAGAGAGAAGCATATGAAGTGATAGTGGAAGATGGGAGACTAATGAATAAACAGAGCATGACTCTGATCAATTCAACAGAGGAAGCCAAGTCGATTTTTGTACTTAGCACGACTAGAACCTTATACGTAGGGATTAAAAAGAAAGGCGTTTTCCAGCACTCAAGTTTCTTATCTGGAGCCGCCACTACAGCTGCAGGAAGATTGGTCGCCAGCGAAGGGATCCTTGAGGTACTTAAATTACCTGTCTTTGCTTCTCTTAATATGTTATGTACACTAAAATGTCTCATTCACATTTTGTTTCCTTAGGCTATATGGCCATATAGTGGACACTATCTCCCAACAGAAGACAACTTCAAGGAGTTCATAAGTTTCTTAGAGGAGCACAATGTTGACCTCACCAATGTTAAGGTAAGGAAATGAAAATTATGAGATCGGTCTTTGTGTTATTGGCATCAATAGAATGGTTGTATTCACGAGTATTGTTGAATCTGAATTGCAGAGATGTTCTGTGAGTGAGGAATATTCGTAATTCAAATCGACTGCAAATGAAGAAGAAGAAAGAAAGGAAGTCTCAGAAGAAGTTGAGATACCTTCAGAGCAAGAAGAGAGAGCGAGACTAGTGTTTGATCCTGTAAAGAGATGTAAATGGACAAGTGGATATGGTCCAAGAATTGGTTGTGTTAGAGATTACCCAATGGAGCTACAGGCACAAGCACTGGAGCAAGTCAGTCTCTCTCCTCGGGTTTCGCCAGCTAATTCTTACGGACCAATTTCATCTCCAAGGCCTAGTCCTAAAGTGAGGGTGTCTCCACGCTTAGCATACATGGGAATCCCAAGCGGCTGTAAAGTGTTGAAATTTAAAACACACGTTTTTACTTGTTATCCAAGAAAGGGTGGGGTTAGAAGAGAAGAGAAACTAACCTCCATTTTTCTCTCTAGCTACTTTAATTTCTTCTGTATATTTCTCGAGTATTGCAACATTTTGTTAGATCAAGACTTGATAATGCTAGAGATAGACACAGTTGACTTCTTTGTTGTTTGTTTTCATAAGTAGGTTTCTGTGAAGATTTAGTTCAAACTTACAACTAAGAACCGGTTCTTCAATAATTTTGATGTTTAGATTTATTTTTAATAGCTTAAATTCTAAGAATCAGTGATATGAATTATTTTCGTATTTTGTATTTATTTATTTTAACTTAAATAAAGAATACATGCATATATCATATTTTGGACTGATCAAGATCCAGATATTTGATATTCTAAGGTATTTTGTCCGTGTGATATCCTGATTTGAAATATCCTCTACCGAAGTTTTTTCTAAAATTCAAAGCCAAGACATGTAAATTTCTAAACTTAAGATATTTTTATTTTATTTTAAATTTTAAATTTTCATTAACTTAAAAAGGATTACAAGGCCTTATCCCAATACAGCCATATGGCCCAAACCTCTTAACCAATAGCACTAGCATATTTAAATAGTCAGTTAGGGAGAACTCTATGGGTAGGTGTAAATGGAGCTAAGTATACAATCTTTCTCAAACGCACTCACATTTCTTTCGAATCATTGACAAAGATTCGTTTTTTTCTCATAGGAATATGGATGGAAATGGAATCTTACATATAGAATCTTAGGACATCATGTTTTAGGTGAGACCAATATAAAAGAATAGACACGAAGTTGAAGACAACACCATCGACGGTACTCCTACAACCACATCTCTCTAAAGTCTGTTTCAAATTGGGCTCCATTTTCGTCTATTTCCACACCCTTCATGCTTGTCCTTCTCTATTTTGAAGTATTTACTTAATTTTCTTAAAATTGCTCTTACTTTATTTTTACATCATATTATGGTACTTTAAGTCTTTAACTTATTGTTTTTAACCAAATAATATTCAATAATACTTTTATTTATTTATTTTGTTATCAAAAATGTTTGAGGCAATTTGATAATGTTTGAGCATGATGGTCTAGATTCTCCAAATCCAACTACTTCACTAATATTTCTATTTACACAACTTCTTTGTTGTTTGTTTTCAGATTTGGGTTTTTGTGAAGATTTCGTTCAAACTTACAACTAAGAACCGGTTCTTCAATAATTTTGGTGTTTTGATTTATTTTTAATAGCTTAAATTCTAAGAACCAGTGATATGAATTATTTTCGTATTTTGTATTTATTTATTTTAACTAAAATAAAGAATACATGCATATATCATATTTTGGACTGATCAAGATCGAGATATTTGATATTCTAAGGTATCTTGTCTGTGTGATATCCTGATTTGAAATATCCTCTACCGAAGTTTTTTCTAAAATTCAAAGTCAAGACATGTAAATTTCTAAACTTAAGATATTTTTATTTTATTTTAAATTTTAAATTTCAATTAACTTAAAAATGATTACAAGACCTTAGCCCAATACAGCCACATGGCCCAAACCTCTTAACCAATAGCACTAGCATATTTAAATAGTCAGTTAGGGAAAACTCTATGGGTAGGTGTAAATGGAGCTAAGTATACAATCTTTCTCAAACGCACTCACATTTCTTTCGAATCATTGACAAAGATTCGTTTTTTTCTCATAGGAATATGGATGGAAATGGAATCTTACATATAGAATCTTAGGACATCATGTTTTAGGTGAGACCAATATAAAAGAATACGTCATGATCCTGGTGGACATTAAAAAAAGACTCGAAGAGATCACAATAAAAAAAAAATGGATCCACCGAAGAAAAAGAGGAAACTTAAATGAACTAGTTAGATAATTAATAATACTTTCATTACAATTAAAAATCAAGATGGGCTTACGTGAGCACATGTGGCAGACACGAAGTTGAAGACAACACCATCGACGGTATTCCTACAACCACATCTCTCTAAAGTTTGTTTCAAATTGGGCTCCATTTTCGTCTATTTCCACACCCTTCATGCTTGTCCTTCTCTATTTTGAAGTATTTACTTAATTTTCTTAAAATTGCTCTTACTTTATTTTTACATCATATTATGGTACTCTAAGTCTTTAACTTAACTTATTGTTTTTAACCAAATAATATTCAACAATACTTTTATTTATTTATTTTGTTATAAAAAATGTTTGAGGCAATTTGATCAATAATCTCTATGAATTGGAGACCAACGTATTGTCCGTTCTTGAATTTTCTAAGACACTAGTTTATTTTGATCCATGCATTTCTTTAGTTATACCATCTGGCCTCTACCTTACTCTTTTATTATTTAGTTATTATTTTAAAAGTTTCTCACATCTGCTAAATATATTGTTGAATAGGAGAGACATCTGCTAATATCCTTAAAATTTTACTGGAACAAGCGGACAAAACCAGCCTTCCACCCACACCCATGAGATAACCTTTTCTATTAAACCCCATGTGAGTTTATTCAATTTGGATGCTAAAATGGATTCGTAACTCTTTGTAATTAATATCCACTCGCCGTGTTGTTGTTTTTAAGAGCACTTATCATTTGAACTCAGATGGTGTAATTTCACTGAAGACGAAATTGGACTACAATTTTTCCAAACGCCTTATATATACTCCCTCTGTTCCAAATTATAAGATGTTTTTGTTAAAAGCACAAAGATCAAGAAGTAATAAATGTTTATTTATTTATAAAAATTTAACCAATTGAAAAAAGACAGCAGAATTTAAAAGATCATAAATAAATTAAATAAACATAAATTATGCATAAAAATCTGAGAAAATCTTATATTGTGAAACAAGAAAAAAATGCTTAAACATCCTTTAATTTGGAACAGAGGGAGTATATATATATTCCATAAGTTTAGCATTTAATATACTAAATTTGGGAGTTGTCTTGGCGACAAAATAGTCTCGAGCTGGGCTTCGTAATGACGGAATCGACAGCAACAGAATCTCAGTATAAGGAGCCTTGGAATTGGTCCATTACTTTAATATTTTATATTTCCATAAAACATGATAACATATTTGCTTAATGCTTTGTCATAATAGCAAAAGTGTAAACTCAAAGAATATGCAAGGACCGCTTTGTCTTAAAGAAGTATAATCACAAATACAGTTAAACCTAATAAAACAATCAAAATAAATTACTTAAATCCACAAACAAAGAAAATTAGAAAAATAAACAATTATAATAAATACATAAAGAGTTTTTTTTTTTTTTTGCCTTTCTGATATATTAAAAACGGCCAGTCAAATTTTTTTCTTCTTGTTTACTTCATTCGCTAATTACATAAAGAACTCGCAACTGATCTATACTCTCCTCTAACCCAAAACAATCAATTGTGCACCCAATACAAGTCAGTAGATTTTTAACGAATTACAAAATCATTCGGTAATTACAATACTTTTTTTTTTGTTAACAGTAATTACAATACTTTCAAATACATATCCTCTATGCATATGTTAACTTGTTATAAGAATACAAATGTTAAATTTTTTACATTAACTAACATTTGTATTCAAATACATCTACTATAATGTAAAAGTACAAATTATTTAGTTCTCTTAGAAAAAAATTATTCTCCATACATGTACGAGTAAGACGTCGTCCTAACTCCTATTATGCTCCAAATTCTGAATACTTTTTTTTCCATTTTCCTTTAACTTTACCTATTGAAAAGGTCAACATCGGCAATAAAATCTAGCGCGTGGGTTTTGGAACTCCATGCATTAAACTCATCAAATAAACAAATTTTCTAAAACACAAAAAAAAATGATGGAAAAATAAAATAAAAAGGCAAAAGAAACACATCACGAGACAGTACTTTGTGATGTAAGCAACCACATACACCACTCCCTTCTTCTCCTCCCCATTATTTGTCCTTTTCTTTTCCTTTCCCCAATAATTCTCTTCTTATTTTATTGGCTATTAGTATTATTATTTCCTCTAAATTTCATTATGATTCCTTCTTTTGTTTTAAACTTCTTTTTGATTCTTTCTATATATACAAATACAAAATCTCCTCTTCTTCTTAAAAAAGCTCTTTACGTTTCTCTCTCTCTAATTGCCTGCTATGATGCAAGAATTAGGCTTAGAACGTTTCTCAAACGACGTCGTTCGCTTAGACCTCACTCCTCCTTCTCAAACCTCATCTACTTCTCTCTCCATCGACGAAGAGGAATCAACGGAAGCCAAGATCCGACGGCTGATATCGGAGCATCCTGTGATCATCTTCAGTAGATCTTCATGTTGCATGTGCCACGTCATGAAAAGACTCTTAGCAACGATCGGCGTAATCCCCACCGTCATCGAGCTCGACGATCACGAGGTTTCTTCTCTCCACACGGCTCTAGAAGAAGAATATTCCGGCGAAGTCTCCGCCGTTGTTCCTCCGCCGGCGGTTTTCATTGGCCGTGAGTGCGTCGGAGGTCTTGAGTCCCTCGTCGCTCTTCACTTAAGTGGTCAACTTGTTCCTAAGCTTGTCCAAGTTGGAGCTCTTTGGGTATGATTGTAATTTACCTCATCTTAGTACTTGTCTTAATTTGAATAGGTGCAAAAGAAAAAAGAAATTAGGGTTTCTCTTCAATTGCTCATGAAAGCCAAATTCTGATTATCATCAGGTGATCAAAATTAAATACCCATGTAGAAAATGAATTATGAATAATTAAAGATGTGTAAGTAGTATAAATTTTATATAATTTGCGTCTTCGTTTTCTCTCTCTCTTTTGATAAAGTATGAATCCATCAACCTCATTAATGATGAATCGGATTGATTAGGACTACTAAACTATGATCTAGTTGTATATCTAATGTATATCTAATGATTGAAAACAAATTTATTCCTTTTTCACAATATTTGACTGAGAGATTCGAACCATAAATAAGTTTATTGATAAAATGCAAGATGTTAATACCTAATGATCTAACATTTTAGCTAAAAAACCTTATACTGTAATTGGTAATTGTTTTTTTCTTTTCTTTTTTCCTATGATAGATAGGATTTGGACATATAGTTCGTATGAGTAGTGGTGATTTTAGTCGGACTTATGAGTAATTATTTCTTTGGTAAACTAGAAATCTTTTATAATCTTATGATGATATGAATACGATTTGTCGATCATTTCAAAGTTAATTTTCTTCTCTCTTTAATATTCCTGAAAAATAAAGTAGAGAAAACGAGGGAAGAAGATTCTACTATTATTTGTAAGGTCTCCAAGCTCTCGGTATCACGTTAATTTCCTATTCAAGGAAATATTCTCTCTTTAAAAGTAGTATTTGCAAAATAGATATAAAAGTCGGCATAGCTAGTTGAAGAAACCTCAAGCTACATATTTCTCAAAAAATGTAAGTAATAGAGATCACTATCCTAAGCCAGACGATTTCGTGATTGTTTATTGATCCCGTCTAGGTACGTAGTCGGTAGAGTTTATGAATTTAAGTTGTTGAAGTTCCAATGAAATTTCCATATGTCTTAATCTTTCCCTTAAACAAAGTGTCTTGTAAGAGAAAAAGGTACGTTGTGGAATTGTGTATACATTTTTGAATTATTTGGTTATAAATTCACAGAGTTTTGGAAATGAATTAATAAGAAGTGGAAAATGAGAGACCCACTTTCAATAATTGAGGGGGTTTTGACAGCGACGCTGGGCTTAAGTGGCATCTCCAAAAACAAACCTTCTTTTTTTGTCCTCCCCACAATTATTGATTTTCTTTTTCAAAGATTCAGAAAAGACTAAGAATTTCTCTTTTTTTTTCTTTTTCTTTGGAGTTGGGTAATTGGAATAGAATGCTACATATAGCTCCTTTATACCGGTCGATTTTTCTAGTAGGTTTAGGAAAATGAGGTCAAAAGTTCAAGTTCCCCATTTCAAGGGTCAAGATTGACCTATGTCAAATAAATGATAGGTGCTGATCTCACACTACACTGCTATTTTACCAAGAGAGCTTCGGATGATCTGGATGCAGTCATTATTTTTTTTCATGTGCGAAGAGTTTCAGTATAGGTGAAGTAACGGAGCCATCGTTTTTAATATCTTCAACTAAACATACCATAAAAAAAAAAAAAAAAAAAAAAAAAAAAAAAAAAAAAAAAACTAAACATACCATGTTCATATTTTTATGTGTGTTACAAATACTATTATTCTTTGTTACAAATGATCACTGGTCTCTCACGTCAAGAGTCCAATCAGTTAGTCATATCTACATAAGTACATTTTATAGAATGTAAACAACTAATCATTCAATAAAGACAGTCAATTCCTTCTCACTAGACCAAAACTCAAGTTACTCAAGCATCATTTGCAAAGGGTTGATTTCCATAAATAAATCTTTGAATTTCAAGTTTCAAAACCATTCTGTAGGGTGTAAGCAAATACGTTTATACATGCAAAATTAACTTTAAAAAAAAAAAAAAAACTTGCCGACCTATACAACTTTGGTAGTTGTGGGATTAAGAATTTTTTTTTTTTTTTTGTGTGAGATCATGTGACATGTCTTCGAAATTAAGGTTATGTTTTTTGTATATATTTTTAATTCGCAAGTTGATGAATACTGATGGCGAGGATGACCTCATCAATCATAACCAACAATCTCTCCAACAAATGTTTAATAAATAATGATATTAAAATTTGCCCATTAAAAAAGTAATACTACTTCTTAACAAAAAAAAGTAATAATGATATTAATGTGCACTAAAATACAGAGAAAACTCAGTGCTTTCAAGAGCATTTTCAGTTAAATTGAATAGTGTTAACTATGGAGGATTATTTGATCATTATCGTAATACCATTCATTTGTTTTATCACTAATAGTTATTTTCTTTTACATTTCAACATTAAAATTTAAAAGTTGAATAAAATATATTCACTTTTTGGACAAGCTCTCACTTTTCATCTGTGGTGCTATTTTCGGATACACTGCAATAATAACAAAGATGCAAGTGTGGTAGAGGCGCACAACATGAATAATAAATTTTCCCAATATGCTTTTTTCGTGTAACTCTGAGATATGGTGGCAGCTGATCAGCCACTAAGGATTTGATAGTTTCAAAGAAAAGTACTCAAATCATAGACGTACGTAAATGGTCAGGATTTAGGAAGCTGATAGAGTGCAGTTTATTCAATAAACATATTGCATATTTCTTTTTAAAGAAAAACATAATTGCATATTTTGGATATCGACTTGTGTGCATACACAATGAGCTGGTGAAAATAAAACTTTTGGTTATGTGGTTTTTGTCAAACAAAATAAATGGGGATAGCTAGTGAAAATATGTGTAAGTAGTTTCTTTTTTAATTGTAGTAGTAAATTAGTAATCGAATCGTTTATTGTTCTTCTTTAGAAAAAAAGAGAGAAGGAATTTTGAAGAGAGAATCATTAGGGCTAAAATTATAATTATACAAAAACCACTCTATTCCTTCGAGTTTTTGACCCCACAAATTTCCTTCGTATTTGGAAAAGACATTCACATTAAAAAAAAATGTAATAACAGCCAGCGATGATATATGATGACCCACCAACACCACTCTCCATTATTTTAATACACCACAAAGTAATAAGTAACTTATTTAAATTTTAAAACCACATGATATTGAAGAAAATTAATTACAGTTTTATTCGTCTAAGATCTCGAAGAAAATTTTCTTCAATCATAAATCGAAATTCAACAATTATGTATTTAAGCTCGTCAGATTCTCTTAAATGAAGTACGGTAAAAGATGGTTTTATGTTACTTATTTAACATTCTTACTTTTAATATAATATTAGTTTTTTTTTTCATATAAATAATCATTTCTTTGATTCTTGCTTTATGCCTTTATGTATTTTCTTTTCCAAACAAATATAACATTTTCATCGAAATTACGATCTAATAGTAAAAAACCTGCACAATGGATCTCTTAAGCTAGCAAGTCTTTTGCTCAAATGGAGTTTGAAGATAACAAACAACACATTCTCTCACAAAATCTTAATAACCTCCCTTAAGGTGTAATATTGATCTGCACTTTAGGCGGTCATGGACTTAGTCTTGACGCCAATCTTTTTCCAAGAAACACTAGGCATGATTTGTTTCGTGTCCACACGATCTTTAAACTGAACAGCAAAGTTGAGCAACGAATCAAGAAGTGACTCGGATAGATAGTGAGGCTCAAGTCCAAGTTCCATCAGCTTTGTGTGCTTTGCGTTGTAGTAATGTTCTTCTGCCTCCACTCTTGGGTTAGGCACCGTCATCTTTTTCACGTCAAGCCCAAGCTTTGAACCCGCTTTAGTGACGAGTGAAGCCAGTTCATTGACTGAAAACTGTTCAGTGAATTGGTTGAAGACCCGGAACTCACCAGCTTTTGCCGGGTTCGCTATAGCAATCTCAACACACTGAACCGTATCTCTTATATCGAGGTAGCCTCTTGTCTGCAATGGGAAAACCCTTAATCAAAACCTCAAACTTTTCGATAGAAATTTCATGTGAGAACAGATAAAGAATGTCATTTACCTGACCACCTTTACCATAAACTGTAAGTGGGTGACCAACAGCGGCTTGCACACAGAACCGGTTAAGTGCTGTACCGAACACAGCATCGTAATCTAGTCGGTTACGGAGTTCCTCATGCATCTCTGTCTCATCAGTCTTCACTCCATAAACAACTCCTTGGTTGAGATCAGTGGCTCTAATACCCCAAGCCTTGCAAGTAAAAGCAATGTTGTGCGAATCGTGAACTTTGCTAAGATGATAAAAGGAGCTAGCTTGCTTCGGGTATGGCAAAGTGTCAGTTCTACCATTGTGGGTTATCGTTATATAACCTTCCTCGATATCGATATTTGGAGTTCCGTACTCACCCATCGTCCCAAGTTTAACAAGATGGCATTCTTCTCCGAACTCTTTGATAGCAAAGAGAACATTGAGAGTCCCAATCACATTGTTGTGCTGTGTAAAGACGGCTCTGGACCGGTCTATCATCGAGTAAGGAGCGGATCTCTGTTCCCCGAAGTGGACAACTGAATCCGGCTCAAAAGACTTGAAAGACTCGGCTAAGAATTCGAAATCACAGATATCCCCGACGTAAAGCTCAATTGATTTCCCTGTCAACGCCTTCCATCGGCTGATTCGGTCATGAATGGAGGCAATAGGAGTCAATGATTCAAGTCCAAGCTGGTGGTCGAAAAGACGCCTTACAAGGTTGTCAACAATGCAAACTTCGTAATTCTTCTTGGACAAGTGGAGAGCAGTAGCCCAACCGCAATAACCATCTCCACCAATGACCATAACACGTTTTGGTTTAGACGACGAGTTATCGGTAGATGTTTCGGGTGGTGCTTGTTGGGTAATAGGTACAGCAGTTGCTCTGAAAACGCAGCTTCGTCTCGGTTTCTTGTCTTGAAAGAGAAGACCTTTGAGAGAAGATCTTGAAAGAAGTTGAGCATGGAAGAAGGTTTGCCCTAAACCAAACGGTTTAACTGAATTCTTGCTGCTGCTAAGCGAGATAACTGAAGGGCATGAAGCTGAAAGTAGATGCGCCATTTTCAAGGTTTGTTCTTGATTCTATCAAACACATTCACCTGCAAAAAAACAAAAAGCAGCTAAGATTTCAGACAATTTGGTTCAGCAGAACAGGAGATATATCTAGGAGATGTTTCATAGTGTCATTAACAACCATAACCAGTAAAGATTTAGTTAATTTTCTCTAACTTTACTTAAAACTCAAATCAAAATCCAAAAAGAGATCAATAAAAATTGAAACTTTATCTTTACACACCTCCTAAATTCAGCTACGTCCATAACAACAGAAGAATAAGCTTATAATCAAAAATTTGAAGTCTTTTATCGGAAAGTCAGCTCTTGTCAAAGAGTGGGTATTTATTTGATCAAGTAGAGTAAAAGTAAGAAAGAAGCACATTGATGGAGGCTAAAATGAAATTCAGACAAAACCCTACTGACTGAAACTCTGTGAATTTTGATTTCCTACCATTTCAGAGTTTCTTCAAAACGGATTCACTGAATTTACAAAAAACGGAGAAATTAAATTGATTAGAAAAAACGATTGCTTACCCTTGAAAATTTGGAATCTTGTTCAGAGTTCGAGAAGAAGCTTCAAGACTTTGAACTTTGAAGTGAGGGAGGGGGTCTCTTCTCTTCTCCCGGAAACGATGAGAGATGAGACAGATAAATAATCATAAGAGATGCCCAAAGCATATTCTTATAATCTTATTTATTCCCTTCCCAAACAAATTAATTTTAGCCCAATAAGTCGCTTATTTAGAACGTTGGTTTATTAGTTTTAAAGTTTTGTGGTTGTGAATGACATACAGGTCCGCCTCTACTGGGCCAACTTCTCAGTCGCTCGCTCATTTAGTCAAGTTAAGGAAAACTCTTCCCTTACTGGGCCGGTTGGCCCAAATTTATACTTTTTCAATAATGATGAGAAAGGAGAAAAACAAAATCAACTGTAAAATGCAAACCTAACTTACATCATCTTTTGCAGAGGTGGTTTCCCTTCATTAGTTCACATGAATGAAATTTTATTGAGACTCAAAACATTACTAGTATTTCTCATTGTAATAGTCATTTTTCTGCAAGTTGACCAAACAAGAGTCATACTTCTGATGCAAGATATAAATATGCTAACAAAGACTTCAATAAGACAATAACAAAACATCCTCCCAAACCTCATCTCTTTCTATAATTGTTTTATATCTTGTTTTTTCTCGTAGTTAATAAAGTTTGATGATTATTATCTTCTAAACGTTAATATTCTTGTCAATGAGAGTAGGTGAAAATGTCGACATTCTATGGTCATTTGATTCCCGTGAACCACTTGTGACCTTGTTAACGTACGTGCACGCACACACAAACACTCGCAGTGATTGACATTCTCCGAATCTTTCTTCACAGAGAACTCCATAATATTAATAACCCCTACTACTTGCTTGTTTCCTTGCCAATAATATAAACCTACAAGCTTAATCATCTAAGCCAATTTAGTAAATGTCTCTCTTACAGGTCTGAAACTTCTTCCACATCATCTACCTAATGTTCTTTTGCTTCTTCCATTCATTTTTCCTCACATTTTTTTTTTGCCTCATAATGTTTTCAGGATTTCTGGCAGTTTCTTCGACCATTATCCTCTGGTTTGACAGGTATTCTCACTTCAATTTGCTGCTTTCTGATAGATATCGTTTGTCTCTATCGTCTTATCATAAATTTATTCGTAAACATACTTAAAATCTCAAAGAATTACTTCATTTCCCTCTTAATCCCTCATTAAGTGGATAATCCGGCTTAATTAACTCCACTAGAAAAAAGCATATTTTTAGTTTTTCTTAGTAAAGTAAACTCAAATTATCTTGCATTTTGTATTTTTTCCAAAAACTAAAAAACAGAGTCGTTCACAACCAGCTGCGACTCGGGCGAGGCAGACCCGTGCCGAGATGACGCGGCTGCTCTCACCCTCAAGTTCGCAGCTATGGCGTCGATCCTTATCTCCGGAGCTGCCGGAGTCTCTATTCCTCTCGTTGGAACCCTCCTCCCGTTAAACGGTGGCTTAATGCGAGGAGCTAAAGCGTTTGCTGCAGGAGTGATCCTCGCAACAGGGTTCGTTCACATGCTCTCCGGCGGATCCGAAGCTTTGTCCGACCCGTGTCTGCCGGAATTTCCATGGAAAATGTTCCCTTTTCCAGAATTCTTCGCCATGGTCGCCGCGCTTCTCACTCTGCTCGCGGATTTCATGATCACGGGATACTACGAGAGGAAACAGGAGAAGATGATGAACCAGTCAGTCGAGTCGCTTGGTACGCACGTTTCGGTTATGTCTGACCCAAGTCTTGAATCGGGTTTTCTGAGGGATCAAGAAGATGGAGGGGCGTTGCATATTGTGGGGATGCGGGCTCACGCGGAGCATCACCGTCATAGCCTCTCCATGGGTGCCGAAGGTTTTGAGGCTCTCGCAAAGAGAAGTGGAGTTTCCGGTCATGGACACGGCCACGCCCACGGCGACGTAGGCTTGGACAGTGGTGTAAGGCACGTTGTTGTTTCTCAGGTAAAAGACGTTTTTCTCTTCTTTAAATATCACTGACTTTGACTTTGTTTTTTAGTAAGCTCTGACTTTTGAGTTCTTTAATGCTAATACGAGATTATTTTAAAAAACTTTTGAGTTCTTTTGAGTTCTTTTGACTTGCATGATTACATTATGATTCTTACATGATAATCACAGGTGGACAACATAAAGCTGATTTAGTGTTGTAGTAGAGATCCATCGAAATAAATAGTGATCGATCGAAAAGTTTTCCAATGCCAAGTTTAATTAGTTGCTAATCACTATATAGATTATTTATTATTGAAGAAAAATAAATAACTTATTTCCATTCAAACGTGAGTGCAATGGTTATTAATTCAGATATGTATTTACAATAAATTAACTTTTTATTTATTTATTGCCTGTTTAAGTATTCGTTTATAGTTATTTAATCATTACTTACAAAATAACGATTATATTAGTCATAAGTGTTCATGCTACCTAATAAACATCTACTATTAAAAGGAAAAAAGTAGATAACAAAACAATATATTTTAAAATACCACATTATTTTAGTTTTCTTCCAAAGATACAAAAATGGCTCACTCTTATATATATTTTGACGTATTCACTCTTATATGTGACAGAGTCACACCATTCCGTTTGTAGAATTTCCTTCTATATTCTCGTTGCACAACAAATTCATTGATGCTACTCTGATATTTTTGTATTCAGATACTTGAAATGGGAATAGTGTCACATTCAGTAATCATAGGAATATCGCTTGGAGTATCACATAGCCCATGCACCATACGTCCTCTCCTTCTCGCTCTTTCCTTTCACCAATTCTTCGAAGGTTTCGCCCTAGGGGGCTGCGTCGCAGAGGCCAGACTAACCCCGCAAGGATCTGCCATGATGGCTTTCTTCTTCGTCATCACTACTCCCATCGGTGTAGCCGTGGGAACGGCCATTGCCTCATCTTACAACTCTTATAGCGTTGCGGCATTGGTGGCTGAAGGAGTCCTTGATTCTCTCTCTGCGGGAATACTTGTTTACATGGCGCTTGTGGATTTGATTGCTGCGGATTTCTTGAGCAAGAAGATGAGTGTTGACTTGAGAGTTCAAGTTGTTTCTTATTGCTTTTTGTTTCTTGGAGCGGGGATGATGTCTGCTCTTGCTATTTGGGCTTGATCACTTTCATCTTTTTTTTTTGTTGCTATATCTTTATTTTTCTTTTATGGATTTGTGTATTTTAGTTTGAATATTGTCCATGCATGTGATTTGTGAGTCTTGTTGTTTGTAGTAATTTGTTTATGACAGTAATAATTGGACTAGACAATTCCATTACTAATTGTTTCAACATTTCTATTATATATTCACTCTATCATCTTATATTTTGCATTTTAAATTTGTTTGAAACAGAGACAAATTATTTACTTGTCACGATAGCAATTTCCACCGTCCAATCTTTCTTAAACTTTTTTTTTTGCTAAGAAAACAAATTAGTTCTGAACTAAAAGAACAATTGAACAAATAAATTAGTTCTTACATTCAAGTATGCGACTGAAACCTAGCACATCCAAAAGGCTGGTTAGAAATAACGTGTTGAGACACCAAAGATTAGGTTTTTGACATCTTTTTCGAGCAAGTGCATGGTCAATCTCCTTCAATTTGATTTAGCTTAAGATCGAAAACATTATCTTTGGTGCTACGCCATATTAGAATCATATGAACCAAATGTTAAAAAAAAAACAGTTATGAGTAATATTTTCCACAAGGAATGGAACTCTTTAAGATTAATTATTCTTGGAAGGTCGAAAACTATAATATTTCATTATCTGTCGAATATTTGGAGGACGATGGTTCCCATGCATGATGAAGAAAAAGACGAACCCTATATTTATCTGTTTAACTATAATTTTCTTTGTGGAGATAAACTCTCTGTGAAATGCATTCCGCCACCTAATTTATCTTATTTTTTCATGTGAACCAAAATAATTATAATTTCTTTGCCATATATATTTGTTGTTGTTATCTTTCTGATTTTTTTGATAAAGGTGACAAACATTTTTGTCCACTGATACCCAATCTCTTCTACTTCAGTTCCCTTCCTTTCAAATTTTATCTCGAGATAGTTTTACAACTTTTTCCCACAATTATGTATTTTACTTCCTGTAATAATCTTAAGGATTTGCTGTAGTATTTGTAGAAAATATTAGTTAGGCCAAACATATATAGTTTTTTTTTTTAAAATTTGGGAATGTAATCAGAAAAAAACTTAATTATTGATTAAACTCTACATTTACGTAGCTCCAATTAAAAATCTTACTCGTTAGTATTAAATAAAATTGTATATTGCTGTTAAAAAATTGTAGTATATAGTTTGGAGAAAATAAACAAGTAATTAAGAGATGTCGGAGATCCAATTTAATCATAAAGAAAAATGATTATCACAATATTGTACTACTGATTAGATGCTATACACGTGGAATCTGCAACTTTTCACCAACCCCATCCGAGCATACACCACGAAATTTGAGGAATTATTTTTTTAAAATAATCGTTTTATTTCTACCAAAAAAAATTCAGTATTTATAAACACACTCTTTTCTTGGGACGTGATATACACATTTTATTTTCAACGGTCCGTGAGTGTATATAGTATACGCTCTCAGATTCCCTCCTAGCTTCTACCTCCTCCTCTCATTCATGGCTAAAAACTAAAAAAGCTATCATCTTTCTCCAAACATCTCCCTTACTCTCTTCCTTTTCTGACTGCTACCCATTTCCCCAATGGAGCGCGCAAGGAGACTTGCTTACAGAGGAATCGTCAAACGTCTCGTTAACGATACAAAACGACACCGTAACGCTGAAACACCTCACCTTGTTCCATCTGTTGTTCCTCACGCTCCGGCGAGGTATGTCTCTTCTCTTTCCCCTTTTCTCTCGACCCATCGATCCGTCAACCACACGGCGGCTTTCGGGAGGCACCAGCAGACGCGTTCGATCTCCGTCGATGCTCTTAAACCCGGCGATACTTTCCCGCGTCGTCATAACTCTGCAACACCAGACGAACAAACCCACATGGCTAAATTCTGTGGCTTTGACCATATCGATTCACTTATCGATGCTACGGTACCCAAATCGATTCGATTAGATTCGATGAAGTTCTCCAAATTCGACGGAGGTTTAACCGAGAGCCAAATGATTGAGCACATGGTTGATTTAGCTTCCAAGAACAAGGTTTTCAAATCGTTTATCGGGATGGGTTACTACAACACTCATGTCCCTACTGTCATTCTCCGTAATATCATGGAGAATCCAGCTTGGTACACTCAATACACTCCTTATCAAGCTGAGATCTCTCAGGGTCGTCTCGAATCGCTGCTCAATTTCCAGACGGTGATCACCGATCTCACGGGGCTTCCTATGTCGAATGCATCGCTTCTGGATGAAGGGACTGCGGCTGCGGAGGCAATGGCCATGTGTAACAACATTCTTAAGGGTAAAAAGAAGACCTTTGTGATTGCTAGCAACTGTCACCCTCAGACTATTGATGTTTGTAAGACTAGAGCTGATGGGTTTGATTTGAAAGTTGTTACCGCTGATCTTAAGGATATAGATTACAGCTCTGGTGATGTTTGTGGGGTTCTTGTTCAGTATCCTGGTACTGAAGGTGAAGTCTTGGATTATGCTGAGTTTGTCAAGAATGCTCATGCTAATGGTGTTAAGGTTGTGATGGCTACTGATTTGCTGGCTTTGACGATGTTGAAACCCCCTGGGGAATTTGGGGCGGATATTGTTGTTGGTTCAGCTCAAAGGTTTGGTGTTCCGATGGGTTATGGTGGTCCTCATGCTGCGTTCTTGGCTACTTCACAAGAGTATAAGAGAATGATGCCTGGGAGGATTATTGGTATTAGTGTTGATTCTTCAGGAAAGCAAGCTCTGCGTATGGCTATGCAGACTAGGGAGCAGCATATAAGGAGGGACAAAGCCACTAGCAACATCTGTACTGCTCAAGTAATGACTTTGTACTATCTGATTACTTGGTTTTCGCTTGCCACTATTAGTTCACACAGATTATTAGAATGATATGTTGATTCATTTTGTTGAAAACTTATCTTTACCTTTTCTTTTGCCATGTTGTATAATGTTTTCTCTGTTTCTTGCAGGCGTTGCTTGCCAACATGGCTGCCATGTATGCTGTTTACCATGGACCTGCAGGTCTAAAATCTATTGCCCAGCGTGTTCATGGTCTTGCTGGCATATTTTCCTTAGGGTTAAAGAAGCTTGGGGTTGCAGAAGTCCAAGAACTTCCCTTCTTTGACACTGTAAAAATTAAGTGTTCGGATGCACATGCAATTGCTGATGCAGCTGCCAAAAGTGAAATTAATCTGCGTGTTGTGGACTCAACCACAGTGAGTCTCCTTTGCTTTGGCCTTTAAAGGTTTTTACTTGTATAGCATCATACAGATTTGAATATTTGGATATGATTACTTAATTCAGATTACTGCTTCCTTTGACGAAACAACCACCTTGGATGATGTCGATAAACTTTTCAAAGTTTTTGCTTCTGGCAAGCCTGTGAGTGTCGTTCTTACCTCTTTTTGTTGTTTACTTATCAGTTCTAGGCTCCTTGCATGAAATTTGACTATCTCCAATTCGCTTCAGGTTCCATTTACGGCTGAATCTCTAGCACCCGAGGTTCAGAATACCATTCCTTCTAGCCTAACAAGAGAGAGTCCTTATCTTACCCACCCAATCTTCAACATGTATTATTCTCTTCTTTGAATCTTGAGTGGCTTATTACTTGTGGATTAGCAGTATCTCATTTTTATTTTCCATTTTGATAATGTGATTAGGTACCACACAGAGCATGAGTTGCTTAGGTACATCCACAAGTTACAGTCTAAGGATTTATCACTGTGCCACAGCATGATTCCATTGGGATCTTGTACGATGAAACTAAATGCGACAACTGAAATGATGCCAGTCACATGGCCAAGTTTCACCGACATTCACCCATTTGCTCCTGTTGAACAAGCACAAGGTTATCAGGTGAGTCACTCTCTTGATTCATCTAAGGCTTGATTTAGAAAGTTGAACAATGAACTGATTTCTTGTCCACATGTATGTAGGAAATGTTCGAAAATTTGGGTGACCTCTTGTGTACAATCACTGGGTTTGACTCTTTCTCATTGCAACCAAATGCTGGAGCTGCTGGTGAGTATGCCGGGCTTATGGTTATCCGCGCATATCACATGGTAAAAGCTTTTATCCTAAATTTGGCTCTTATGTTACCTTAGTTATCTTCTTTTCAATTGTATTAAACTGAAAAGTGAATGAATGGATGATTTTTCCAGTCAAGAGGAGATCATCACCGTAATGTGTGTATCATACCTGTCTCTGCACACGGTACAAACCCTGCAAGTGCTGCTATGTGCGGGATGAAAATTATTACGGTTGGAACTGATGCTAAGGGAAACATTAACATCGAGGAGGTGAGAAAAGCTGCAGAAGCCAACAAAGACAACTTAGCCGCTCTTATGGTTACTTACCCTTCAACTCATGGAGTCTATGAAGAGGGTATCGACGAGATTTGCAACATAATACATGAAAATGGAGGTCAAGTGTACATGGATGGTGCCAACATGAATGCACAGGTGAAATATCTTCCTAAAACAGAAAACAGAGATATTGGGTTTTGTCTAATTTGTAAGAGTATGGTGTTGGGTTCGTGTAGGTTGGCTTGACGAGCCCTGGTTTTATTGGAGCGGATGTGTGCCATCTCAATCTCCACAAGACCTTCTGTATTCCTCATGGAGGTGGTGGTCCTGGTATGGGTCCCATTGGTGTGAAGAATCATTTGGCACCATTTCTTCCTTCTCACCCCGTGGTTAGTCTTTGATCCTTCATCACTGTTATGTTTCTTGGTGATTAGGGAGTAAATTCTTTATTTTTTATTGTTTCTTCCATTTCCATGTATAAAGATACCTACTGGTGGAATCCCGCAACCCGAGAAGACAGCACCGTTAGGTGCAATATCCGCTGCACCATGGGGATCTGCGCTTATCTTACCAATATCTTATACTTACATTGCCATGATGGGATCTGGTGGACTCACTGATGCCTCTAAGATTGCAATTTTGAATGCCAATTACATGGCAAAGCGCCTAGAGGTAGTAGAACATCTTTGTCTTCTCTTTGCCTATTCATCTTTTGAGAGCGAAAGGAATCTAATTTTCCTCTTGATTTAATTTTACAGAAACACTACCCAGTTCTTTTCCGTGGTGTTAACGGAACAGTAGCACACGAATTCATCATAGACTTAAGAGGCTTCAAGGTATGAAAATGTTGTGAACTGAAATTAAAGTATCTGTTTGGGAATGCATATAACTGACCGATTCAAATATGGATTTGTAGAACACTGCTGGAGTAGAACCAGAGGATGTGGCGAAACGGCTAATGGACTATGGATTCCATGGACCCACAATGTCTTGGCCTGTCCCTGGAACTCTTATGATTGAGCCAACCGAGAGTGAAAGCAAGGTATATATGGAAATCCCAATCTCGCACACTCTTTCTTCTTTGAATGAATCAATATGAAACTAAATAATATTCGTTTGCAGGCGGAGCTAGACAGGTTCTGCGATGCTCTCATTTCAATCAGGGAAGAAATTGCACAGATTGAAAAAGGAAATGCAGATGTCCAGAACAACGTCCTTAAGGTAATTAAGAAAACAAAGACTCATCTTATTATTTCCAATAATATTATCGTCGAAGTTGAGATTCATAAGTTGGTGGTTGTTTGTGTTCTCAGGGAGCTCCACATCCTCCATCGTTGCTAATGGCAGACACATGGAAAAAGCCGTATTCTCGAGAGTACGCTGCTTTCCCTGCCCCGTGGCTCCGTAACTCAAAGTTCTGGCCCACCACAGGTATTAGACCATCCAAGATATAGATTGCACATTTGTTTTTTCGATTCAGTTTATTTTGGTTTCAGAATTCTGATTTGTGACAAATGATTGAAATGTGGAACAGGGCGTGTGGACAATGTATATGGAGACAGGAAACTGGTGTGCACTCTCCTCCCAGAGGAAGAACAAGTCGCAGCTGCAGTATCTGCTTGATTACTGCTCTGTCTCAATGTGTTGTGTCCCCTTCTCTCACCATTCTCTCTTCTCTTTCACATTCTGTCCATAGTGTTCTCATTATACGCTTTCTGTCTCTTACTCTGTTATTTTCATTCGATTACATCTATAAATTACATATTCCACAATTGACCGAAAACAAACATATATATATATATTGTTGAAAATTGTAGAAAGTTAAAAACCAAAAATCTTAATTGTTAATGAAGATTAAGAAACCACTAAATAATAGATGTATGGAGTTTATCAAAATCATTGCTTTCTTGCAATTTACTAATAACTCTTACGTAGACATAAAGAAAGAGTCCAGGAAAACAAAACACGAACTTTGGTTTAGAATCAAGACTTATATCAACCATATTGCCATAGACGCAAGATTAAAAGAAAAATGCTTCATTACTTTCAATGGAAGAATCTACAATAAACTCATCAAAACATAGCTAAATCCTTGACAATTTTACTTACAGCTAATAATCACCAACTAAATTAGAATACAATAAGGAATACTAGCCCATATATCCTATTGCGCCATGACAATCTCACTAGGATTACAGAACCAAGCAGAAAAAAGATAACGGGTGTTCCATGGACACGGTTCTGCCTCAGTCTTCAACCTCAGTGTTGAATATAAAACTTGGGAATGCTGTCGTCACATCCCTTCAAATTCAAATAGATATTGTTGATCATAAAGTGTAAGTAATCTTAAATGGAAGAATTAATCTAACAAAGAGAGTGGATTTGGTACTTTAGGTAAGGAAGAGTCATATTCTTCAACAAGCTAGGATGCTTAAGCACATACGCCTTCCACTCCTCCTTGTTAATTTTACCGTCTTTGTCGGAATCTGCATCAGCAAATGTCTAGCAAAAACAAAGTAGAGAGACAAAAGAACCATCTGCTAACTAAATTGACCAAAATATGATACATCACACTAAGAGAGATGGTATTCCAAGAACTCACTTTATCAATAATCATGGTCAGAAGTTCATCGGACAACATCATATCAGATTCCATCAAAATAGCAGAAACCATTTGTTGCACCTAACATATAATAACAACTTCCAACTTGTTATGAAGCTCAAAAGAACAGTTGCAGCTTGCAATGGCAGATTAGTATTTACCTCTTCTCGCTCAATAAATCCGGTTTGTCTTAGATCATAGAGCCTAAATGCAACTGCCACAGATAATAAGCATATGCTTGAGACTCATCAATGGGTTATATATCATTAGTAGAACACTGAATATCGATCCTTACAGTCGATCTTCTCCTCGATTGGTGCATAGGGATGAAAAACACTGAGTGCATGGATGAATTCTTCAAACTCAATAACCCCATTCTTCTTTTCATCAAACAAATCAAAAACCTGCAAAACGTACATGAATCAATATAAAAACCAAAACTTTCATCTCAACAAGTCCAAGAAACCATGAGAAGCTATTCCATCTCTCTAAAGAACACACTCACCCTATCGAGAAAGAGGTTCTCACCATATGGAGCTTGGAAAAGCGCCAATCGAAGCTCTTCCTACAAACCAGGAAATAGCTTAAATAGAAAACTTTTATGCTTTGAAAGCAATGAATCACACATAAAGGAGTCAAAAGATGATCATCAACCAATGGCAAATTCAGTAACTAGATATCTGAGAGACTTCCACAAGAAAAAAACAGACCTTGTGAATCAAGCCGTCATCAATAATTGAACAGCTCAATTTCTTGAATAGCTCATATAAAGCTTCAACTTCATTGACTGAAACTGCAAAAGAAACAAACTTCAAAAACTTATCAACTCCCAAACAGAAAAATGCGAAAACCCATTGATCCAAAAATGTACTCACACACTGGACATGGAATGAAAGAGAGAGAAAAAAAAGAAAACCAACATCGAGATTCACGAGCAAGACGTTCCAGATCCGCATGCTGACATGAACGAGGCGATGTGGTCCGGCAATCGAAGCATTGTCCGACGGAGGAAATGAGGACATCAATAATGGCAAAGAAAGGTATGAATACGGCGCAGATTTGCTCTCCGACAGTGAGAGAGCTTGATCTCTGTTTCACCAAAACAAGAACACCAACATTACTAAACAAAATCAAGAGAAGAAATGAGAAAATCAAAAACCGTGAGAAAATTTACAGAGGAAACTTGTGGCCAGTGCTCTTCCATGACTCATTCAAAAACAATGACCTCCCTCGTCGAATGCAAAATGGAATTGAATTGCATCAGAATTTTTCGGACTAAAGTGGCACTTTGATTCTGCGTCACTTATAAAATCCATTTAAATGTTTTCAGTTTATCAAAATGTGACGCCAATCCATCCTTTTCACATTCTCGAATCAAATGTACAGTCTCTCTGGTCCCCATATATATATATATATATTTTTGTCTAAATAAGTAACTATACACTATTTGGACTATAGTTTATGGAATGAATAATAACTATTTTTAGTTATTGGCTAAAACAAAACTTTCTCCTTCTTTTTTTTTACACAAGAGTTTCAACTTTATTAACCTTCAAAGCCAGTACATACTATTACAGAGACAACGAGACTATGTAGACAAAGACAACCAGAGCCATTGCAGACAAGGCCATTACAAACTAAAACATAAAAATATAAAATATCAACTGCAGTAGAAACAAAAATTGAAGATGATCGTTACAGAGTCAAAGAAGAAAAAGTAAAAGAAGAGGAAGAAAAACATAACTTTCTCCATATTATCAAAAATCAAAATTACATTCAACTAATCAACTTAGATTTAACCTTGGAAAAGAGTCAACAAAAATATTTTATTTAATATTAAATTGATTTTTAAAAAACGCATTAGTAAATAAGTTATTTGTTTGTAGAAAATAAAAATAAAATAATTGGATATTGACACATACATATATCTGAACTTAGCTAATTGTGAGAATTCGATGATAACAATAGCAATACAATTAGATCCATGACAATGTTATTTCTCTTTGAAAATTTCATTGGATTGTCAATTTTCCCTACCAGCTTTGCGATCTTTGAAACTTAGTCGACGATCATATCTTTATATCAAACACTTTAGTTCAAGAGCTAATTGATTAATTTAGCAACTAAACCATTTCAATATTCTCATACACAAATTGGAAAAAAAAAAGATTAAAAAAAACTAAGACCTTTTTGGGGTTTACACTATGCAATTCCTCTGGTTCCACAGTAACTTTACGCTGGTAGATTTCAAAGTAACAGGAAACATCTGATCACTTGGACACCAGAAAGCTCTTTTTTTGCACGTAAAACTGTTTTCTCCGCAAATCTGATCAACAAAACTCAAAGCTTTCTTTTTGGTTTAAAAGAGATGTTCTTCCAAAGCTTTTAGTTTTTACAAGCAAAACTGCATCTCTGTGTATACTAAAGCAAAACCTAACTAAGAAAACACTCCTAGTTAAACAATGAAACAGAAATTCTAAACTAAATTAGAAACATAAAACCAATAAATTAATAGAATCTGTATTGCATAACTGATAACCCGCCTAGGCGCCTAGTCAGGGCTCTGAGGCAAGCTTCCAAATCTTAACCATTTTATCGTCGCTGGCCGAGGCAAGCAACCGGCTTTCCTTCTGCAATGAAAATCTCGATATCAGAGTCTATAGCAAGAGACGATTAGGGTATATGCAAAAACTATTTTAAACAAGAAAATCAAGCTTTCAAATTTTTTAAGAACCAAACTCAGTACGAAAATACGAATAAGATTACCCTGTCGTGTATGGGACTGCATTAGTGAATATATTAGCCTATTACTCCTTAAGAAGGAAAGGAACTTACATCAGGTGCCCATTGGACTGAATTTATATCCTTTTCATGTGCTTTCTCCTTCTTAAGCAAGAGTTTGTATGAAGGTCTATCAACCTGGCACAATGATGATCAGCATTTCAATTTGGCTATTGTATGTAATGAAAAATCGCTGGCCAGAGTTTAAAGCTAAGAAAAAAATCACAGAAACCACGAGCTTTGGTTTCTTGTGTTGTTCTACAACGATGACACAGAACATATGCCAAGAAGTAAACCGGACAAGATATGCTTAAGATATTTCTACATGATGATGAAAGAGGGATTTAGGGTTATAGGTAAAAGGGAGAAGGGCATACAGAGTCACTGTTGCTGTCCACAAATAACTGTATAGTATCATCGCCTGCTCCACTAGCAATAACACCATCCCTATCAAGGTATCAGATCTTATCAAAAAACTTAAATCAATTAATCCAGTAGGACACTTCTGGTTCTGGGGTTCAGAAAATACGCATAGGCTCAATAGATAAAGAATCACATGGCAGAAGAAAATCAATAGAAATTTAGTAGCCATTAGATATGAATCAATATTGGTCAGCAAAGCTTATTACTAATTTAGCTTTATTTGATCAATGAACTAGATACAAAAGTGTAAATTTATCAGGTGTAATAAATCAATCGTCTTCTTGGTTGGCAGGGGAATATAGTAGGACTTTACGACTGTTTCTTTCAAATGCCTCAAAAGAAACCAAAATGAGAAGTCTATACCTTGACCAATGAACTGAATATATGGTACGATCGTGAAAACCAGAGAGTGTACAAACATGGGTCCTGCAAATATCAAACATGTAAATATTTCATCAGCTACAAGATGGAACATGAAATCCCTTGCGAATGAAGAATATTCAACCGAATGTATCTTAAGTCAAACTTATAGACCATACGAAAACAAAGAATAAATCTTCAAAGATGCAAGATCTGTATGCTAAGCTCAATGAAGTGATAACTAAAATGCCAGTATATCCTCACCAGGGTACATATCCTTCACCAAATTGCATCATTGAAATATCTGTCTCCCATATTTTCACTGTTAGATCATCACTACAAGTTCAGACAATCAAAATGTTGTCAGACCAGGTAAGAGAGATGAAATCTCATATCCGAAACAATGGGAAGAAGATTCACCAACCTACAAGTGACCATCTTGTCCCCTGCAGCATTAAAGGAGATACTCCAGACGGTAGAAGAATGACCACTGAGTGAAGATTAAAGGCAACATATATTATTATACGCATAGAAGAAATATCAAGAAAACAAAAGCAAAATTTTGAACATGTGAGAAAGAAAAAGTGGCAAATAGAGGATATACTTGTTAAGTTCACCTAAGGTTTGGACACAATTATAATCACCATCTTCATCCTCAGACCAAATCTGTTCATAGAAACACAAGCATTGCAGTTAAACGCTTATATATAGATATGACAGAACGATCAAAAAGCATCGATGTCCAATTCATCAAAGCACATGTGAAGCATTGTTCTCTTTACCTTGATAGTGTTATCATAACTGCAAGAGAACAAAACATCCATGGTGGGATGCCACAGGACCATCTTAACATCTTCTGAATGACCAGTTAACACTGCAGCACACTCAAATTCATTCTCCGGGAGTACTTCCCAAATCCAGACAGACTTGTCTCTACCACAAGTTGCAAGCAACGAACCAGATGCATTCCATGATACACTTTTGACTTCGCTTTCATGTACCTGCATAAGAAACCCAGAGGACATGAAAAGGAAAAACTTTTTAAAATAAATTTGAATTCCCAAACACATAAAGGATAGGCCTTTGAGATAGTAGTACCTGTAAAACGGAGACAGACTCGGAGTCAGTAGCAAAATTTTCCCAAACGCAAGTAGTGCCATCGAAACTTGCAGTGGCCAATAACTTCCCAGACGGTGACCAAGCTAACGACTTGACAGTTCTTGTGTGCGTGCCTTCCAAAACTGCCTGACCAATCCACCAAGCTTCATTATCATTACTGACACCTTATCTAACAAGTACCAACATCAAATTCGAAAGAGATAGAGAGAGAAACCTTGCAGGTCCAGGAACGAGTAAGCGAGCTCTGCTCCCAGATTCGTACGGTCTTATCGGCACTGCAGGAGGCAAGAACACCGTCGGCGGCGGGATTCCAGGCGACGTTCCAAACACGATCGGTGTGACCTTCAAGTTTCTGAACCTCCACTAACCCTAAATTCTTATCCATCAATTTCATCTCCAAACCATCAAATTCTGGAACTCGCTTGATCACTTTTTTAGCAGAGAAGCCTCTAAAATTCCACGAAAATCAAATTTTGCTATATTAATTATACTAGATATGGACCCGTGCAAGGGTTGCCGGTCGAGATTATCATTCTTAATATTTTTATTTTATTTTTGTAAGCTTAACTAAAATTCTATAAACATATATATTTTAGGAAATGCAGCATAATTATTTCTAAATATTGATTTATTAGCATAATGCATAATATAAAAAATAATTTATAGTTATGTTATAATAATTATTAAATTATCTAATATAAATATTGGTCTATTTATAAAATTATATAATTTTTTGCTTATTATAAGTTATGAAGTCATAAATGTTCATATGTTGTATTATTGAATTTTAATAAGTTATTTACATCCATCGGAAGAGTGTGTTACATTTTATAATTTCAATGTGGGCAAGATGGAAACAAAACTATGATAATAAGAAAAGATAAAATTATATAGTTACGTAAACATATGAACGATATATGTATAATATGTAAACATGTAGTCTGAGTTACGTAAATATAGATGTTTTTTGTAGAAAAGTTTAACGTCATAGTAAAATTGTGACAATAAAAGAAGAGAAATATGAGACTGTCTATATCCATGTCATGTAACTTAATTGATAATATGAAATATTTTCAATTTTCTACATGGCTTTTGTCATTTTAGGCCCACATTACAAATTTCTTCGTTTTTTCTTCTTTCTAATTCTCAAATCTCTATGTATCTCTCATTAGATTTCTCTTATTTTTGTTCGAACTCCTCTTTCTTTCTCATTCTCTCCCTCTCGTCGGATTTTTTCACCACCATATCTTTATTTATTTTTTTTCCCTATCTCAATTTTTCGCATTCGTCGGGCATAACTACCGAGTCTCACCACTCTGATCCACCACCACAACTAAATCTCACTACAATCACAATCACCACCACCATCAATCCCGAATCTCGCTAATATCGACTCACCACCTTTATCAATATTTACCGCCGCCACCACCACCAAGCTTGAACCCCCATCATCAACACCAACACCACTGCTACCGCCTCTTATCCTCTTTCCCCAACTTCTCTTATTACTCCACCTTCTTTATCTCCTCCGACATTAGAGCAAGCCCCTCCGACAATAACTCTAGTCTATGTCTATCGCCGTTCATAATAATTATTTTGTCTCAATTGCCATATATTCATTAGATCTGAATATCACATGCTATTTTTAGAAAAACATCGTGATTCGAAGTATTTTTTTATAATTGATACTCCCTCTGTCCCAAATTATAAGATGTTTTAGTATTTTTTCATTGTTCCATTTTATAAGATTTCCCCATATTTCTATGCATATTTATGTTTATTTAGTATGTTATAACCATTTAAATTCGGCAGTCTTTTTTTCTATTGGCTGAATTCCTATAAAAAAGTAAACATTAATTATTTCTTAATCTTTGTGTTTTTACACAAAACATCTTATAAAATGGGACAGAGGGAGTATGATATAATATCGTTAAGAAATTAGTTTGCTTAATGAGAAAATATGAGACAATCTATTTGTTTATATAAATGTGACTATTTACTATCTTTTTCTTATAGGATTAATAACTCATTGCATAATTTTCTTAATTTTTTTCTAATTTTAAATTTTTTTCTTGCACAGTTAGTAACTTATAAATAAAACGTTTAGCATAATTCTATAATTTCGATTTTTATGGAAATATACATATAAATTCTCTATATATATATGTATAGTTTGCTAGATGGCAAAAACTCTTATGGAAATATATGTATAATTTCCTTATAATTAGCTTTTTACAATTTAAAACTGTTTAAATTTATAATTATCCTTTTTCTTTTTTTTTTAAAGAAAGTTTTATTTGACACATGTCAGAATCTCAGATCGAAAAATTTGACACGTGTCACGATCTCGTGAGTTATTAACTTTGAAAACCATACTTTATATAATAAGATATCAGCCTGTCGAGATAAATAACAAAAGTAAATCTTTTATTTTTTTTTGTCATTAACTAAGTAATGTTGTTTTTTTCTTATCGTTACCATAAGTAAATTTAGTAAAAAAATTATAGCATATGATTAAAGATTAATTTTCAATAAATTTTAGAAAGTTTAAAACACCTCTCGAAGTATTTTTAGAAGGCATTTTTCCAATAAATTAAGTATGAAAAAAATATATGGAAAATATTTGGAAGATATGGTAATATTGAGTTGTTTAGGACGTAATATTTTCATTTATCTAATTTATAAACTTGCTCTTTATTTTCTTTCCAATTTTCGGTCCAAGGCCAGAGACCAGACATTTCTGCAGCTTCTGCTTCAAGTTCAGACCACGGCTTGCCGCAGCTGTTATCTTGGCTTTAGGTTCGAAGACGCTGGCGTGTAAGAGGGCTCCCTTAGCTGGTTTTGTTTCAGCGCTTCAGACACTGAATGTGTTTTCTTGACCCTCAAGTGCTCGGCTTCCTTATTAATTCAAAAGGAGTTACGATTAAGTAAGTTGTTGAACCTCAGTGAACTAGTTAATCCCCTCGTGTTCTTTTATTAATTCCCATTTTGCTTAGTTTTTTCATGTATTGGTCTTCCTAAAGTGGTGTCCATAAAATTAAAAAGGGGACGTTCTTTTTTTTTTTGTCGTCAACTTAACTTTTCATTATAATGGAACACAAGATACATCATCCCATGAAATTACAAAGTTTTTCTTACCCAAAACTATATGATTCCCTTCTCAAGTCAATCAACTTGTATATATTCTAAGCAAAACATAAGTTTAACAAGAATATAGGCAAATGACTTGGGAAACTATACGACTTCAAATAAAAAGCGTTCTTTAAGTCTATGGAGTAGATCGTAAGCATCTGCTGGTGCTGGAGTCGATAGGCTCATAGGCTCCATAGCCAAAGTACATTTTGTTTCATTTTATAAAAAGCACATTATAAGGTCTTGTTTGGACTATTAGACAACAAAAAAAAAGTAACTTTTCTAATTCGTCTAGGACCCAAAAGTTATGAGCACGGGTCTAATAGTCTAACATTAATAAGTGTTATTGATTAAGATCGTAGGCATGATTAAAGAAGCATTCCAGCTTCAGTCAGCAGTAGTCGGTACGTTAGTTCCTAGTGTTATTGATACTATTCTATTAATATTTATAAATCTTAGATAATATAGAATCGTAAGCAAACAATAATAATGATATCAATAATTATCGACTTTTATTGAAAATAATTTGTCCTATACGAACAACAATAACTGTTTCACCAAATCAATATCCAATTTTGCTTGGAGTGGCCATGCAAGATACTTGTCCTTTACCCTTTTCTTTGTCACATACCAGCTTAGAAAACAAGTACCAGTCATTGTTAAGGCAAGTACTATTAACATAATTTAAAACACAGATCAAGTCACGCTAATACAGATCAAATCAAGTAGCATTAGATTTGTCTTCTTCTTTTGGTTGTAGTAAATCTAGCCATTTTTTGAATAAGAAGAGCATAATTTCAGATGTGCATATCTATTATAGTCTACGAGTAATAGAGTTCAGTTTCATCATCATTAGCCATGATAATAAAGACGTAACATATAACGACACATTGAACTTCAAAAAAAAAAAGAAAAAAAAAAGAATTGATAAGAAAGGAACAATCAAAGAAAAGGCCAAGCAAATTGATTGATATTTTTGTAAAGCTTACGTAAAAAACTTACAAATTAAAAAAAAAAACGTAAATGGATATAAGATTTGATGGCACAATACAAAGACACGAGTGGTGAGAAAAGAAAGAAGAAAAAAGCAAGAACCCAAATGGATCACACATCTCATCAATTCTCCTTAAATGGCTAAAAAAGATCTCACCCTTCTTTACTTTTTTCCCTCTTTCTGATTTGTGATAATTGAAACCAGCACAAGAAGACAACACAATTTTCTTATTACTTATAAAAAAATTATATATTGTCTATAGACACATACATATATATAGAGACATGTAAATAGTAAAATGTAGGGTCTCTTCCCTAATTTAAAGCCTGCAACAGAAATGAGTGCACTTCTCTGTAGAAAACAGTAACACATCGGTCTTCTTCATGTCTTTGGATTTCTTTTTTGGATTTGGATTCTGTTTCAACCATATATTTCTTTAGATAAAATACTAGATGACATTCTTCATCTCTTTCTCTATGAACGACATTTTAAATAAATGGATTTTCAAGAAAGAAATTATATAAGATTTTCTTGATTCTGATTTATCTTTTTTTTTTTGGTCGGAAGATCTTAAAGATATGAAAATGGATTCGTGTCATAAACAGAGGGAGCTCCGTACGTGATTTGGCCCTCCTTCTTTTCAACTTCTTCTTTCTTGAATTTTTAAAAATATTTTTCCCCTCAAAAATAAAAACTTTTGGTTTGTTTATTTAGTTATAAAATGTTGCTATTTTTTGATCTAGTGCTCTGAATCTTGTAGTGAGGCAGATGATGAATATTCTGGGTTTCTTCATGAAATTGTAATAAAAGTAAGTAAAAGTTTTTGTATTGTTTGCGTTCATGCAAAAGAGATTAATCAGACCCACTTTTCTCTTTTTCAGTTTTCTTGCATCATTTTTTTTTTTGCTTTTAGTTTATATTTAATAACTTTATTGTTGATTTCTGCTTTTTGGTTCTCTTTAGGAACATAGAGAAGCTGCGGAATGAAAGTACACTGTTCTTTCACGGAGAAAGAAGAGAAATAAGCATTTTCTTCTTCTTCAGTTTTTAACACACATTTTGGAAATTTTGATGTAAAAATTCTCTTTGGAACGTTTTGTTGTCTGAAATCTTCCCAAAGGTTCTATCAGAACAAGAAGGATAAAGGCAAGTTCAACACTTTTATGTTCTATGGACATTTGTAGTAATCTAAAGCTTTCTTTTTTACTTACTAGTTCACTGTTTTCACAGATAGCTTTAAAACATTATTGGTCTGTGTATCATTGAGCCTAGTTACTGCTTCATTAACTCATGTTTCAGTTCTTTATATATTTTAATGAAATATTTAATGACATAGTGATGTTCTCTGTCTCTTGCAGCATTTTACATTTAGTACTATTCTCCAAAGATTTTGTTTCTGAGATCTTCTGAAATCCTTTGTCTAAGTCTTAAATACTTGTTTTCTTGTTATTGCAGTTTAGAAAAAACCCAATGGACAACAACAACACTTTTAGTTCTCTGGACAATGTCATGACTAACCAAAATCCTCTTCTCATGGATTTTATACCTTCAAGAGAAGATTCAACTACATTCTCAACAATGCTTCCATGGAACTCCATCAGATCAGATCCTCTACAAATGGGTGGCTTTGATATCTTCAATTCTATGCTGACTAACAAATACTTATCATCTTCTTCACGGTCTATCGATGTTCAAGATAACCGCAATGTCGAAAGCTTTGAGTTCCTGGCTCCTCCTCCTCCCCCACTTCATCCTTTGGATCATTTAAGACCTTATGATGATTCCTCAAACAACATGTGGGGTTTTGAGGCAAATAGTGAGTTTCAGACATATTCAGGTGTTGTTGGTCCAAGTGAACCAATAATGTCTACATTCGGTGAAGAAGATTTCCCGTTTCTGATTTCCAATAAAAGAAACAACGAGCTTTCATTGAGTCTTGCAACAGATGTTTCTGATGAATGCTCAGAGATAAGTCTTTGTGCTGCTACTAGATTAGCATCAGAGCAAGCTTCTTGCAGCAGCAAAGACATTTCTAATAATGTTGTCACTCAAGGTTTCTCTCAACTTATATTTGGCTCAAAGTACCTTCACTCTGTTCAAGAAATACTATCTCATTTTGCCGCATACTCGCTCGATTATTCATCTCGAGGAACCGAGCCAGGGGCTGCTAGTTCAGCCTTTACTTCACGTTTTGAGGATATTACCGAGTTTCCAGATGGCGATTCTAATAACTCGGAGGCGGGTTTTGGATCTACATTTCAAAGAAGAGCATTAGAAGCTAAGAAAACCCATCTCTTGGATCTTCTACAAATGGTATATATTCACTCACCTTTTTACATAAGTTAAAAAAATGGTTTGATTTGATGAAGTTTTATGAGTTGATATTTCTCTTCAGGTGGATGATCGATATAGTCATTGCGTAGATGAGATTCATACGGTTGTATCAGCGTTCCACGCTGCAACCGAATTAGACCCGCAGTTACACACCCGGTTTGCCCTCCAAACCATTTCCTTCTTATACAAGAACCTGAGAGAGAGAATCTGCAAGAAAATAATCTCTATGGGATCTGTATTGGAGAGAGGCAAAGACAAGTCTCAAGAAAACTCTATGTTTCACCAGCATTGCCTTCTTCAGCAGCTGAAACGAAAGAACCATCAGATTTGGAGACCGCAACGAGGTTTGCCTGAGAAATCTGTATCGGTTCTACGGACTTGGATGTTCCAAAACTTCCTTCACCCGTAACAATCCTTACTCTTCTTAACTCTACTTTATGATGAGATTATTAACTCGATTTTATAATCAAAGATATGTTTTATTTAATGTAGTTACCCGAAAGATTCGGAGAAACATCTTCTAGCTATTCGAAGTGGCTTGACAAGGAGTCAGGTAATGTCTCATGTTTGTTTTCTTATGCAATGACTCATTGATAACAATCTTTGTTTTCTTATGCAATGACTCATTGATAACATCTTTGTTTTCTTATGCAATTGACTCATTGATAACATCTTTGCTGACAATGATAGCAAGTTTGGTATTCAAATGAGTAATATCTTGACATATACTAGTGTCATAAAAACCGGTATTGATGAGATTAGGGGTAGGGATAAATTAAGCTTTTCTCTTGAACTACAAATGAGAATGAAATGAGACTAGATTATGTATTCTTGAATTCACAATAATGTTACTCAAGTCCTAAGATCTTAGTCACACATATGTTTTGTTACTCATGCAAGTTAAAGCGGGCAAATTAATGATAAAGTGTCTCTTTGTTGTGTGTGATTAAAGGTATCAAACTGGTTTATAAATGCGCGGGTTAGGCTATGGAAGCCGATGATAGAAGAGATGTATGCGGAAATGAACAAGAGGAAGCTAAACAACAGTCACCTTCAACCCAACGGAGCAACTCTGCGAATGCCAAAATCTGTTATGATGAGCCAAGCAATGCAAAAATAAGACAACAATTGTGTTACCAACTTGTGATAATTAGGCAATTGCTACTATATAATTGCCCAAAACCTAAAGCATGTACGACTATCATTACGTATGTTATAATTGTATATACAACTTCTTCTTATCTTTGCTACTTCATTTTATTATCCTGTGTTTTAATCATTATCATCCTCATCACCTTTTTACATAAAGATGAATGAGTTCATGAATACTATGTTACCAATGGAGCAAACGACGTCGTACTTGGGACCGAAGAAATATCCTCGTCCTCCATAAACTGAATAAATTCACGTAACAAACGACGTCGTATTTTGGTTTGACTTGAGTATCTTCGGTCAACTAACAAAAACGCAGCGTTTTCGTATCGTACGAACAATTAGAAAGTAGAAAAGCAAGACACTTTGCTAAAACTGAGGAAGAAAGTGTGAAGACGGAACTTTTACGGCGAATGGAGGAAGACAAAGCGGCCATGACCGGAGCTGTAGCGACCCGAGTCACGATGGAACCTAGCGAAGACATACTCATATGCGTCGATGTTGATGCGGAATCGACGGTGGAGATGAAGACCACTGGAGCTAACGGTAAGCCACTGAACAGACTGGAGTGCGTCAAGCTAGCCATTACTCGCTTTATTCACGACAAGCTCGCCAGAAATTCCGATCACCGCTTTGCTTTCGCTACCCTCTCCAAATCAGCCGCTTGGGTACACATACTTTCTCCCCCAGCTCTCTTTAAGTTAGGTTGCTTTTGCTTTTGAGTATGCATGCTCCTTAGATGACAAATTTAGAATTCGTGATGTTCGTTGGACAATGATAGTTTCTTTTATTGTTTATAGCTTCTAAATGTGTTGAGAGAATGACATTTGATGTATGGCATAAGCTTCACTAGTGTGACTCTTAAAGTTGAGGTCTTTTATGTTCCAGCCAAAAAAGGAATTCACCAGTGATGCTGAATCTGCTGCTGCTTCTCTAAGGGAAATCTCAGCTACTAATTCCTCTGGTCCAGCGGATCTCACACTTCTGTTCCAGGAAGCGGCTCAGGAAGCCAAAACTTCCAGAGCACAAAACCGAATCTTGAGAGTGGTAAGTTTTGTTTTGTGAAAACTCTATCTCCTCTAGCTACATGTAGCCTGAAAACAGAAGCTGTTTTACTGATTTCGTTTACATATTGCTCTTCAGATTCTCATATACTGCAGGTCATCCGTGAGACCAACCCATGATTGGCCAATAAACCAGAAGCTTTTCACATTGGATGTTATGTACCTGCACGACAAGTCGGCTCCTGATAATTGTACTCACGATGTGTATGACTCTCTTGTTGATGCTTTAGAGCGTGTTTCCGAGTATGAAGGTTACATCTTTGAGAGCAGTCACGGGCTTGCGCAGTCTGTTTTCAGGCGTATGTCAACGTTGTTATCACATCCTCCTCAAAGATGTGCTCAAGTTGATCTCCCCAAGCCCCCTGAAAAGAAGGTGACTGCGGCTAAGGTGGCAAATGCTTATATGACTTTTCTCTTCTTGTGCTGTTACAGATATTCTTTGATTTTGTTTCAGCCAGCTGTTTCCTGTGATCAGTCAACCTCGGGTTCAAAGAAAGGAGCAAAGCAACCGTTAGAAAAAACTCCTAATACAAACACAAAGAGAGTACACAGCCTAGGCAAAGAGAAAGTATGTTTTTGTTCCTTTCACGTATTTTAACTGTTGCTCATATAAACCATGGTTTACCAATTGCGAATTGCAGTAATAACTATTCATGGTTTCAGTTTCCTATTCTCTTCATGTTGGAGATATTTTTTTTTTAACATCCATTGTTTTATCTTTTATCCATAGTAGTTTCATTTGCTCTAGACGAGTAAAAAAAACAAACAAAAATTTGTAGACTCATGCTGAATCAATTCCTTGACAGGCATCTGATCTCAAAAACTATGATGAAAATTTAGTTGGGTCGAGGGTTAAAATCTGGTGGCCTTTGGATCGCGCGTAAGCATTTTGTATTTTGTTCTTTAATATACTACTTTAATTTATGTATTATTTCTGTGCTATGTATTTTCCTTTAATAGCTGAATCTGGACTAGCACCTCGGATGGTTGCATTTCTGTCGACCACGCCTGTAAATGAGTATTGGATTTTTACCACAGGTATTATGAAGCTGTGGTCATTTCATATTATTCTGCTAAAGCGAGACATCGGGTAAAGCCAAAATTTTTATATCAGTCTCCTACATAACTATTTTGTTGGTTTATTGTGTATCATTAGCCTGTTCTCGTAAGTGATACATATGTGTTTAATTTGATCCAGGTCATTTATAGTATTTTATGTTTGTTATATGCTGCTGCTGCTATGTCGTTTTCAGGTTCGCTATATTGATGGAGATGAAGAAATCTTAAATATGAGAAAAGAAAAGTGGTATTTTGTGAATGAACCAAAATTGCCAAAGGTGGGGAATTTATATCTCTCATCTCTGGGTTTTCTGTTTTGTTTCATTCTCCAGATTGTTTTATGCTTCCACATTTTCTGCCAGCAGGATAAAGAAGCTAATCAAACGGGATGTGATGAAGAAGCTTCCACAATGTAAGCATTTCTTCTCCAGTTCCGGTGTTTTTTGTGTTGCTGGAATAGCTAGATGTGAATTGTTGTTTATGAGATAAACTCAATGTTCTTGTGGTGACACTGGAATAGCTACCTTTTCTCCATGCCAGGCCCCAGAAGAAGAAAGCTAAGACAAGCAAGGACCAGTCAGTTAATAAGCAATCAAAGATGCTTTCACCATTTCCACTTTATGTTAAAAAGGATGATGAGGTCATACATGGAGAGGTTCTTTCCTTTTTTTTTCCAGCAACCAATCTCTTTTGTTTGAATCTTTCCACTTATTTTCCTCAGGTTCCCCAAATATCAAGGAGGCAGGCAGAACAAGTTCTTAGTAGCTGTGCTAGCCAGCTCAAAAAGTATCTGACAGAAGCAGTGAAATCGTCGAGCGTCCCCTTGGATAAGCACAGTGATGTAGTGGATTCAATATGTGAAGGAGCATTTGATGCTTTAAAGCAGGAAGAAGTTGTTGCTAATGAAAAAGAAGTAAGCTCTCTCACCTGTACTAGTGTACTGTATCAAACTACCTTTATTGTTTGTAGATAATATACTTGCATCATGTGTTTCATACAGATATAGATGGTTTTTGAGTACCAATGGTTATGTGAGTCGTCTAGTTTCATTTGCTCTCTCACGGTTCTAGAAATTTGTGTCTTCTGCAGGACCGTCAAGGCCCAAGGGAAGCGGCAGTAAAGGCATGCTTCTTTCTTCCTGAAACCAGCATTGAAACACTGAAATTCGTCATTAGTAAAAAGAAGATGAATGTCTTCCTTGCTTATGTAAGTAGATTGCTGACTGTAAACTTATTTTCCGATCAGCAGGAACAACAGAAAGCAGCAGAAGTTTCTACCCCTGAGCTAACTTCTGTACCTGAGAGGAAACTGAACCTGGAGCATTCATTAAGTTTTTGTCCTCATGATTCATCTGTCAATCCAGCTATTTCTTCTATGAATGAGAATGGACGTAAGGATTTGTCCCCGCGACATGAAACAGTGGCTGAAGGAGGAGTAAAGACGCAGGAAAGGAAAATCCTTGAGATGGTTCAACAACCAGTGGCTGAAGAAGAGGATCTTGCAGAAACTGAGACTCAGACACACAAGCGAGCGCGAGTCGAAAGTTCCAGCCTTCATAAAGCTGATGGCGAGATGGAGAAGAAAGCTGCAGAAGGAGAACCCTCTTGCCGTTCTCATAAATCCAGTGCTGAGCCCGGAGACTCGCAGCACAAGAACCTCCCTCAACCTTGCTCTGTCACACAACAGCTGGCTAAGGTTAAACAGAGCATTTTAGACACTGTAGCCAGTGTAAGACAGTTTCGCTGTGAGCTGGAGAGAAAGGAACAGAGCATTGTAGACACTTTGAGCATCGTACGACTGTTTCGTTCTGAGATCGAGGAAAAGGAAGACATTCTAGAAGCTTCACTCCTGGAAATTGACGTGTTAGGTATGTGATACGAATGCTGATGAACACTAGTCTTTTCTTTTGTGTTTTATTTTGGTTATAGGGTCTCTCTGATAATATGATGTTGAAACAAATAGGGGAGAAGATATCGGGAATCAACAAAATACTCAACTGAAGATCATGAAGTGAATTGCAAACTCTCCTCTCTTTTTTTTGGTATCCGGAACTAGTTGGACGAAGGAGTTAAGTAGTTGACAACCAGAGAGAAGTCTTTTTTTGTATAGCATGATCTCTCTCGTTCAAGTCTAAAGACAGTTGATTTTCGGAATGTCAAGCCAAAAACCAATATAGCATCGAAAGGCCGTTGCTTCTTATAGGCACCACTTTTGATGATTTAACAAAGTTCGAAGTAGCCGAATTGCTGATACAACAGAGCAACGCAAGTCACATACTAACCCTTCCGAAGATACAAACTCCATTATTGAACAATTGGAGGTTAATGTTGATTAATTTTGCTGATTCTCGATATCTTCTTACCCATCTTTGAGTCTTCTTCATCAAGACGTTGGAAACATAACGAACTTGCTAATTTACAATGTCTTTCCATGAATTGGTTGCTGACGTAATTATATTTTAAAATGTAAAAACGACGTCGTATTCCATTCGACTTATTGTCTTCGTGAAGTACCAAAACGCATCGTTTGGCTCGTCCCGGACGAACAACTAGAGAAAGTAGAAGAGAGAAGGAGAAAGAAATCTGAGGAACATCGACGGCGAATGGAGGAAGACAGAGTGGCCGTGACCGGAGTAGGAGCGACTCGATACGCGCTTAAACCGGGGCGTATAAAAAGCGAAGACATACTCATCTGCATCGATGTAGATGCGGAATCGATGGTGGAGATGAAGACCACTGGAACAAACGGTAGGCCTTTGATCAGGATGGAGTGCGTCAAGCAAGCCATTATTCTCTTCATTCACAACAAGCTCTCCATTAATCCTGATCATCGCTTTGCGTTCGCTACTCTCGCCAAATCAGCCGCTTGGGTATATTATTACTTTCTCTTCAATTTGGGGGTTTCTTTTGATTTTTGAGTATGCTCCTCAATTTTGCATTTTTAGATGAAAATTTTGAAATTCATGATAAGCTATAAAGTTATGCTTCCTGGAGATTTGTATTTGCTTGTGTTCTCTCTTCTTCTTCTTAGAGGATGTAAGTGAATTGATTTTGCTTCCCTTTGTTGCTTTTCTTGGTCTCTCAAAAGTTAACCAAGCCTTTGTTCTTCATAACTAGATTGTAATTTGCGATGGTGGCAACATATTTTGAAACTTGATGGTTTTTCACCTGATAATGGTGTTCTTGTTACGGTTTTGTAGCCTCTAAATGTCTTGAGAGAATCACATTTTATGCTTAACATAAGCTCCAATAATGAATTTTTGTGCGGGAAAGAATGTCAATGTGGTTCATGAAACTTTTGTTTAGATCCTCTCTACACTCTTCTCTCTGCTGACCGTTTCATTTGAATTGAACTTGAGGCCTTTTATGTTTCAGCTTAAAAAGGAGTTCACCAGCGATGCTGAATCTGCTGTTGCTTCCCTTAGAGGATTGTCAGGTAATAAATCCTCTAGTCGAGCGGATCTTACACTTCTCTTCCGAGCAGCGGCTCAGGAAGCCAAAATTTCCAGAGCACAGAACCGAATTTTCAGGGTGGTAAGTTTTATTTTGTGCAAATACAGTCTCCTCTAGCCACTGCCTGAAAAATAAGAGCTGTTTTACTGATTTTGTTTATGTTGCCCTGCAGATTCTCGTATACTGCAGGTCATCTATGAGACCAACCCATGAGTGGCCCTTAAACCAGAAGCTCTTCACGTTGGATGTTATGTACCTGCATGACAAGCCAAGTCCTGATAATTGTCCTCAAGATGTGTATGACTCTCTTGTCGATGCAGTAGAACATGTTTCAGAGTATGAAGGATACATCTTTGAGAGCGGTCAAGGGCTAGCACGGTCTGTTTTCAAGCCCATGTCAATGTTGTTGTCTCATCCTCAACAAAGATGTGCTCAAGATGATCTTGACATCCCCAGGTCTCTTGCAAAGAAGGTGCCTGTGACTGAGGCTGCAAATGCTGTAGATCATCACAATGGGAACAACATTCAGACCATAAACTAATGAAAACACTGGGGGTTTTTTATTTGTATCTTTTGGTCATGTCATGGTTGTAAGTTTCGCATGTGAAAATACTCAACTAGTGACAACTTGTTTCTATATCCATCAAGTAAGAAACTCAAATGTCCAAATGAATATAAATGATTTTCTTATTTTATCAGAAAATATACCTCATCAACTCCTCAAGGGCTCTAATAATGTTTCAGCTATTGGTGATGAATTATAATTATGCCTAATAATATTGAATTATGTAACTACTCTTATCTTTTATCCCGATAAGCATATCAGCAAACTCTTCATATGAATGAATTAACATAGATAATGCAGTGTACTACAACACGTCATTGTGTGCCCGATCGGCCAACGTATATAAATTATTTTCTCTTTTCTCTTGTTGTTTTTCGTTTTTCAATAGACTTTTGTATATAATTTATTTTCTCGCAGTTAATTATTTCGTTACATGGATATCTTAGTTTATGGGAAATGTGTGGCTGTGAGAACGAGAAGCTAAGAAATATTACAAATCGTTTTGAGTGTTGCAAAGTCAACACATTAATCAACTTGTTTGAAATTTTTTTTACTATATTTCACTAAACAATAATTATTGGTATTCTGCCGTATCATGTCAGTATGACATATGCTGACAATTTAAAATTTAGAACAGCATCCGTAAATTAATGTGTTTACTCTAGTTTAGGCCAAAAACAATTTTACGTGCGAGTGATATATGGTTGCCACAGAATTTTAAGCAAGTGGCTGCTGACATATTTCCCATAGGCTTCTTGTTAACGCCACTTGATGTTTGTATCATTGTACTTCGATCTTCTAATCAGTTTTTATCTTTTTGATGTTTAGGTCGACGTATACTTTGAATATTCAGTGTTTAAAAAAGTGATATTGCCTTATCTTTTCTTTGGGAACTGGGATATTACAATCTCCGATTCAAGGACAGCTTGATATCACCAAAAATCCATTGGCTTATCCAAAGAAACTCTTCACGGTTGACGTTTGTACGAAATCATGAAAACATATGCATGCTTAGTTTCGTCTCCTTTCGAGTTTATCCTTACAACGCAACATTCTGGTTCGTAAATGTCCTCTATACTAGCTAAATAGACCATGTCACCACGACTTTAGGATAACCTAAAATTTTATCAATACATTAAAATAAAAAGAATATTGCCATGCATTTGGGTTATAAAGATGACGATGCCATTGCCAACATGTACGGCGTTCGTTCTCTCACGATATCCATCTATATATATTAGATCCTTTTGTACGGCCTAACTTTACGAGAATAATATGAAAAATGAATTTTTAATAACGTTTGACTAAATTATTAAATTAAGAATCTATTTAATCAAAGATTGGAATCCTACAAGATGACACATCATGTGCCTTTCTAATTGAGGAGCGGGGTAGTCTATCAGAATAAAACTAATTTTAATATTAATGTCGAATTGTTTGACTTTTACATCTCACGAACAAAATATTTTAGTCAACTAGTTCATTTTCTGGCGACGATATATATGGTACCATCGGTTAAAATAGACGGTATTAATCTTACCAATGAACAATGATAATTAGTCTTAACTTTAAAAATTCCAAAGCTACATAATAAAGAGTGGGTAAATGAGTTCACATCTAATTTAGGAAAAAATAAAACTAAAAATATCAATACATTTCTTTTCAAAATAACGTAGAGTCACAATATATGTAGTACATAGTTCTGTATTTCTGAATGAAAGGCCAACTAGGTCATTAATATTTAAAAAAAGTATAGAGAATTATTGATAAAAAGGATGTGAGAGTTGACCCTGTTGTATCGTTTGATATGTCCAAAAGGTCAGGAAAAGCTGGCTTAATTAGTAATTACAGAGTACATACGTCACATTTGTTTATTAGTACTCTTTCGTTTACAAAAGTTCAGAAGAAATAATATTATCTTAATTTATTTAATAATTGTAAAATATATTATGCAACATAAAACGTGGCATTTTTTTGTAAAACTATATTAATGCAAGAGGAATTATTTTCTGTAAATTTTATGCAAGTCCTAGTTAATAAATAGAACCTTAAAAAAAAAAAAAAAAAACTTATTTGAGCAACCTAACTATATGGTTTTGTTCTATGGATCTTGTTGTCCCACCCAACATAGTGTATTTGTCAAATTAAAAACCGAATCAAACCTTAATTTCATACACAGAGCATAATTCTTCAGAAATAAACTCTATGAAAGATAAAACCACTACATAAAATCAAAAACTAAAGAAGGTTTTTTTTTTTTGTTCAATGTACTCAAAACTTTCAAAGATCATATTGTCCAATAATTAAGAAGGCATACTAATAGATCGATCTGTCATCTTCTTATTGGTCTATGTAGTTAAAACTCCATTTCTTCAATTCTCTTTTTTTTTTTTTTTTTAATTTACATACTTAGTTAGCAAACTTTCGTTTGGCCACAAATGTGGATGAATGAATTTTTCTATAATTAATTAAATATTTGGTGCGTCTAAATTAACTTGTTGGCAATGACACAGAACAAGAATCCCGTCGGTTAATTTATTGATGATAACTCGAAATTCTTATTAATATTCTCGAATAAATCAATTAGTAGTTTAGTAGTTTAAACAAGATACCTATCACACCACGTCATGTGCCCTTTCAATTGAATCTTGGGATGGTCCAGATAAATTTTTTCAACTATATTAATTGTAAAATTGGTATACGTTGTCGCTGCCACCAGGACCCAGCATTACAATTACAGAAGCTATATTAATTTCTTAATTTACTGGAGTATGTCAAATAATTGGGTTTCTCATTAGTCGACACATTTTTACATATTCTTTAATTCTAATTGGTGGAAACGATTCATTTATAATTATTTATTCTGGCGGTTAATCAAACATATCTGCCAGAATATTCAAAAACATGTTATCAATAATAGAATATTGATCGACCGCCTGGGAATTAAAAATTATTCTTTCCAAATGCCTAAAGATACAAGTCATCATCGAGATGAATAAGTATATATTAATCCATACTATAAAATAAGAAGTATGTATTAATATATTCCTAAATAAGATTCACAAAGGGCTATATATCTGGGTATAAGCAATAAGCAAAGTCGTGTATCATCAAACTCATTCATTTGTTTTTATCATCTCTTCTCTTACATATACAAAAACAACAAACCAAAAAAAAAAAAAAAAAAGAGGCAAAACACAAAAGATCTAAGAGAAGAAAAATGGGATTTTGTTTGTGTTTATCCTCAGGAGGATCAACAGATCGAAATCAGATTTATGAGATAACTGATTATGGACAAGAAAATGCAGTTTTATACTCTGATGTTCCTCAAGACTTTGGCTCTGTCTCTTCTTTAGCCGGAGGCAAGGGCTTGAACCAAGATGCTGCCATTCTCCACCTGGTACTTATACTTTTGAAAAAAATATATAAATATATGTTTGTCTTCAGAACAATTAATTTGTTTTTAACGAAATGAAATGATAAATTACTAGGGATATGGAACACCGGAAGGAGCGTTATGTGGAGTGTTTGATGGGCATGGACCGAGAGGTGAGTTCGTCAGCAATATCGTAAGGAACCAATTGCCATCTATACTCTTAGGTCATATGAATAATCATTCAGTGACTCGAGACTGGAATCTCATTTGCGAAACTACGTGTTTGGAGATGGACAAAAGAATTCTTAAACTTAAAAAGAATCATGATTGCTCTTCTTCTGGAACTACTGCTGTTCTCGCCGTTAAACATGTAAGTTATTAGTAATATCTTTGATGTTTTTTACCGCTTCATATTTATGTGATGTTTTATTTTTTCAAAAAAATTGTAACATGATCAACTTTTTTTTATTGTAATTTAATTGAGTATTTATTGGTATGTCAACGTTTCAAATCTACAATGAAATATAGATTCTTCATTTTTTGTATTGATGATAACAACTTAACAACAATATTTGAACAGGGAAACCAAGTGATGGTGGCAAATCTTGGAGATTCAAGGGCTGTGATGATTGGAACAAGTGAGAATGGAGAAACCAAGGTGGTTCAGTTGACCAATGACCTCAAGCCAAGTGTCCCAAGTAAGTTCTTGGACAAAAGTGATGTTGTAAACAATAATACGTACCGGTTTCATTATGGTTAAGCATTTTTGGGTTGATTGATTTTGCAGGCGAAGCAGAGAGAATAAGGAAACGAAACGGAAGGGTATTGGCTTTAGAGTCCGAACCTCACCTTCTAAGAGTTTGGCTTCCAACCGAAAACCGACCAGGCCTAGCCATGTCCCGGGCTTTTGGTGATTTCCTCCTTAAAAGCTACGGTGTCATTGCGATTCCACAAGTCTCTACGCATCAAATCACTTCCAGCGACCAATTTCTACTACTTGCTTCTGATGGGGTACGTAAACTTAAACCTAAACTAAAAACGTGCCAACCATACTTTATTATATATGAGACTATGCTTTTGTATTTTGGTTACTATTGATTAAAAACCGAAGCAAAATCCATGTTCTATTGTGGCCCAACCATTTAAGGCTTTTCCTTAGTTATTTATTCATCAACTTGGACCCAAATAATACGACCAAATCCAAAGTAAAGCCCATAAGTTTAAAATAAATCTATTCAATTGAATGATCCACGTAATGACGTAATAATGAAATATCTCTTGTTTCTTGTGGTGATTGATATAAAGGTGTGGGATGTACTTAGTAACGAAGAAGTGGCAACGGTGGTGATGAAGTCGGAAAGTGAGGCAGGAGCGGCAAACGCGGTGGCAGAGGCGGCGACTAATGCGTGGATCCAGAAATATCCAACGGTTAAGATTGATGATATATCTGTCGTGTGTCTCCCTCTCAACAAGAGACATAATCCACAGCCACAAATATGAACAAATCCACTTGCGCAAATCAAAGAATCGTGACACGACAGCTCACACAAGACTTTTGTGTTTTGCCTACTGAGTGATTGTGACTGTATATATATATCTATATATACGGTTGTACCTTAAGTCGGGTGATTATTTAGAAAAAAAAAAGAAAAGAAAAAAAAAAGAATGATAGAATTTAATTAGGAATGGTGTGTGTCGTGGGATAAAAGCAACCATGAATTATGACATTTTGGACACACGTCTATGTATAATTATTGGACGGGCTCGGACTAGTTCAAATTGATTCTGTAATTGCTATAGAAATTTGATAATAACATATAATGATAGTATTGATTTTGACCAATAGTTTATAACCAAATTATTCAATGAAGGATTTATTAGTAATATACTCATGAATCATGATAATAGAAGTTTGATTGCTTAGATTATCAGAATTAAGTGAGTTGAAGAAAACAAGAGGCAGAAAGAAACAAAAGTAGATATTTTCTCTGTAGATATTTAAAAAAAAAAAAAAAAGTAGATATTTTGCCGAATAATCCAAAACAAATACTCCACAAATTTTGCTAATTGCTATATAGACTGAAAGGAAAAGATTCTATCTTGTTGCCCCACAAATTTTGGCATTCCATCTCTGACTAAGAGTCTTTAAGAGAATATTCAGTTTTCGATTATATAAAATTTGGGATAAATTAGGCTCTTATATTTTATAGGAGTGTTTAATCCGAAAACAAATTGATCCCATCTAAAACCAAACTGAAATAGTCAGTCCAAAAACCGAATTATAGATTAATTTAGTTTCAAAACTAAATCATCTTTTAGTTAAGTTAAACACACTTGACATGATCACAGGAAATAGTGCTTATTTTTCTCCTTTTGCATGATTCTCTCATGTTTTTCTTTTGTATTCAAAAGACAAGTCTCTTTTACTCATGAGATTTGTGAAATAAATGATAAGAGTTTTAATAATGTGTTTAAAATTGAATTCATGTCCATTTTTTTTTGAAAAAGTCCTTTAAAATCATACATAACTCGCGAGCCAATGTTACAAAAGGAAGTATCATCACGCAAAAGAATTTTCAAAATATGTCTAAATGTGCAAATATATCCATTTATAAAACTAAATAAGTAAATATCTAATTTTAGCTTTGCGTGTTCATTATATAAACAACGTATGTGTTCTCCAATCAGATAAAAGATTCAATTTTATTTAATAGTCTGTCCGGCGATAAAAAAAGATTCCTATCAACATCATCATCACTCGCCGGCTAATGGCCACAACGTTGACACGTGTCGCCGTCGGCGCCTTCCTTCTTGTTGTCTTAGCCTCGCTGGTTGCCGTCTCCGTCGCGAGAAAAGGTCCTGATGATGTTATCAAACTCCCGTCGCAGGCTTCTCGGTTCTTCCGTCCTGCTCAAAACGACGACGATTCTAACGCCGGTACTAGGTGGGCTGTTCTAGTCGCCGGATCTAGCGGATATTGGAATTACAGACATCAGGTACTGTTACGACTAGTCTCTGTTTATTCGACTCTTTTTCTCCAATCGGAAATTTTGAATTTTGCCTCTGATTGCTAAGTGGTGTTTGATGTGATTCTAGATACTAAGTTGCGGTGTAGTTTGATAGGATCAGCTGAATCTTTTGAATTTTGCAAGTAGTTTAGATAAGTTTGGCATATGATGGACTTAGGATAGTATAGTAGAGTTTTTGTTTTAAAGATACTAATGAGTTTACTAACTTTTCAGGCTGATATATGCCATGCTTATCAACTTCTGAGGAAAGGTGGCTTGAAAGAGGAGAATATTGTGGTATTTATGTATGATGATATTGCTAACAATTACGAGAATCCAAGGCCTGGAACTATTATCAACAGCCCTCATGGAAAGGATGTCTATCAAGGAGTTCCTAAGGTCTTTTGCTTTCTTACGTTTTCGGGTTTTAGCTACGCTGTTGTGATGGGTTTACTTAAGTGGTTGGGATTATTCTTCGTATGGCAGGATTATACTGGAGATGATGTTAATGTTGATAATCTATTTGCGGTGATCCTTGGAGACAAAACTGCTATTAAAGGGGGAAGTGGAAAGGTTGTGGATAGTGGTCCTAATGATCATATCTTCATATTCTACAGTGACCATGGTGGTCCTGGAGTTCTTGGTGAGTTCCTTAAAACCCAGAAATTAAATGGTTTTGGACCCAAAAAAAATTGATGGTTCTTTGTCTTTTTTGTTTGCAGGGATGCCGACTTCTCCTTACCTATATGCAAATGATCTCAATGATGTCTTAAAGAAAAAACATGCTTCAGGAACCTATAAAAGCTTGGTAAATCGCTAAGGTTCCTTTTTCGTTGGTATTGCCTATGAGTAATGATACTAAAAGGCAAACCTGCAGGTGTTTTATCTCGAAGCTTGTGAATCTGGAAGTATCTTTGAAGGGCTTCTTCCAGAAGGTTTGAACATCTATGCCACAACTGCATCAAACGCCGAAGAAAGCAGTTGGGGTACCTATTGCCCTGGAGAGGAACCTAGTCCTCCACCGGAGTATGAAACTTGTTTAGGTGACTTGTACAGTGTTGCTTGGATGGAAGACAGGTAAGCTAAAGAATCCTGATACGCTAATAGGAGTTGCAGTGTTCTATTTCTCATGTTTATGAATCTCTATGGATGTCCCATTATATTGATTCTGATTTGTTTGAAATGCAACAGTGGTATGCACAATTTACAGACTGAGACTCTGCACCAGCAATATGAACTTGTAAGTTTCTAGTTTCTATGGAAAGCCTGTAATGATGGAGCGAAAACATTCTCAACTGTAAATTAGATTGTTAGCAAGTATGTGCATCATAAGTGTGTCTTTGTGTTTTCAGGTGAAAAGGAGGACTGCACCTGTTGGGTACTCTTATGGTTCTCATGTCATGCAATATGGCGATGTTGGACTTAGCAAGGATAATCTCGATCTTTATATGGGAACAAACCCTGCCAATGACAATTTCACATTTGCGGATGCCAATTCACTGAAGCCACCTTCAAGAGTTACAAACCAGCGTGATGCAGATCTTGTCCATTTTTGGGAAAAGGTTATTTTCCTTTCTTGTTTGCATCTTTTGGTTACTCAATAGTTTATTGGACTGCTAAATACAATTTCGTTTGCATGTTATTGTTTTCATGAAGTACCGAAAAGCACCAGAAGGTTCCGCCAGGAAAACAGAAGCTCAGAAGCAAGTACTTGAAGCCATGTCTCACAGACTTCATGTTGACAATAGCGTGATACTCGTCGGAAAAATCTTGTTTGGCATTTCGAAAGGTCCTGAAGTGCTAAGCAAAGTACGGTCTGCTGGGCAACCGCTAGTCGATGACTGGAACTGCCTTAAAAATCTGGTAAATTAATACGTTACTTTCCCCTTAAGACTTTGTTGTGTCAATCTTATCATCAGCCCTTATGGTTAGTATTGAAAAACGTATTGGTTTAGTCATGGGATAACATCGATCATAATGTAAGATGAAAAAAATCTCATAGAGATTGTGGAGCCCAGCACTCTATTATTAGCCAGGCTGCAGAGATGTCAAGATACTTGCGTTGCAACTGGATTATCTATAGAAATCACATCATAAATCTGGGCCATACTGATTTTGACGCAGGACTCTATTTACTCTTATCCTATGTTGAGGAAGTTTCAAATTATAAACTCATTGATTGATGTTTCATATAGAGAAGAACTGAATAACCTTCATTGTATGTTCAGGTGAGAGCTTTCGAGAGGCACTGTGGATCGCTGTCTCAGTACGGTATCAAGCACATGAGGTCCTTTGCAAACATCTGCAACACAGGGATCCTAACTGAGCAAATGGAGGAGGCAGCTTCACAGGCTTGTACCTCAATCCCACCTGGTCCTTGGAGCTCGCTTCACCGTGGATTCAGTGCATAGAAACCCTAAAACCCTCTTCGCATTTGTTTATATTACTACCAATCCCCAAATATTCCTATTTCCATTTGTAATGATTAAATCATTATTCTCCCTGTATATCTCACTATCATTTCCCCTCTGCAGTGCTTGTAGAATGTATTTGCTATGTACAAATGCTTGTTGAACTAAAGTTGAATGTATAGAAGGTTTGTATATTATATGTAAACTTGCGAGTTCTCAATCTTGTGGATGGTTTACCTTTTGTAGCAGAAACAGCAGAAGAAAATAGTAAAAGAGAATTTTATTAGAACTTGAGAAATGATCATCCCATGGTTTTTACATACACCAAGTGTGTAGAGAGAATCAGAAAATAGACTACAGGCACCAACTTTACTTGGTGACGCTGAAGCTTGCACGGAAGTTCGATATCATTACTGGGCATTCTCCCTTCTCATCATACTCTGTGAATTCCTCCCCGCTTGACAAATCAATGTCATCAAATTTGGTTCCAGATTCCTGTTAAGGCCAAACAACTCAATTCATGAGAGCTTAAACTAGTATTGAGCATCAAAGACTACTGGAAACGAAGCTTGGAGTTCTTTGTCCAGACAGTTGTTGTAGGGAATCAGAAAACTAAGTGAGACTGGTACAACTTACAGCTTCAGCTTTCCAATATCCACCAAAGCCGAAATCGATGGGTTCATATCCCCGACAGTCGAACACCATAAGAGGAGCATGTTCTCCAGCCTCAGAATCTTCCAGAGTTAAAGGTCGACCTTTGCCCGGAATCATTGTCACATTCCCTTCCCTTCCACAGAACTTACACTAGAAGAACTCATGGAGACAAACCATCAAATTAATGCCAAAGATGATGGGATTCAATATGCTATAAGAATGGATCATCCAAAATGCAACTTAGACAAAAAAAAAATTAGTTGTATAAGACCGCAGGATATGCTAAGACAAAGCTCTAAACCCGAAAACCATGAGATTTTGCTACCAAACCACAGCCAATATTTGCTTTCTGGAAGTTCGACATTAACTTTTTCTTTGGAGACCAAAAGCACAAAGAATGTTCTCAAATATACAATATTATGAAGAGATCACGAAAGAGCAAGGATCAAGAAATTACCTTCTGTACAAGATGACAAGTACCCCTACCTCCCGGGGGAGTAAAAGTCTCATTCAAAGTCACACATGTTTCTTTCGGAGTCACCTCTCCGCATCTTTCACATTTTAACTAATACCAAGAAAAGAATTATGTTAATACGAAGGAGAATATAAATGACTTGTTTCTGCATACACAAACAAGCAAGCATGATTCATCGCTCATGTACTAACTTACTAAGTATCCACTATCCAGTAACATGGGGCATTATATTTGATCTTGAACAGTTGCAGAAACAAAAGCCCTAAGAAGTTTTGTTTCTCACAACCCTAGAAAGTCACTTAATACCAACTGTCAGACTCAAAATTCCATAGAAATCTGATTCACAAGGCAAAATTAAAACCCTAAGAAGCTTTACTAAATCCTCTATATTTCTCAACATGAGCCTAGCTAATGAAGAAGACTAGTTCAAGGAAATCAAAAGAGAGGGAATCGAAGCATAAAACAGGTGCGAAAAGGGAGGGAAACCTTGAAGAGGTAAGGGAAGTTGGAATCGTCGCAGCCACCGGAAGGCTGGAGATTAGTGAGATTCTCGAGATCAGCGGTGATTTTGAGCACATAGTTCACCATTTTCTCTTCTCCTTTGCTTTCTTCTGATCGTCGGTCGTTTCAGCAAAAAGGAAAAGCAGACAAGCTTTTGTAGACGCGTTTACAGTTTTACCCAAACGTTTACGGTTTTACTTTTCTCGTTTTACAGTTTTAACGTTTCTTTTGATGACCCCAATAAACCCAATTATTGCCTTCAGCCAGTTAAACCAAAATTTTGGTCTCAGCCCATTTTTAAATTTCTTTTGACCTATGAGCCATTTAATCCATAGCACACACTTTGAAGAAAGCCCAATTCGAATTTTTTTACTATGAAGCAAATGAGCCCAATTTCAGATCTATATGTCCTACAAGTCACAAACAAGAATTCAAACCACGATTAATCAAGATTTATTCTTAAGTCTATAACCAAGATAGGAAAAAAAATGCAAAAACCAACCCAAAACATACTCATTGAAAAATAATATCAGAAAATTCGATTAAATCAACTTCTTTATACGATATATGAAAACACACGATAAACATCTATTGAAAACATTTATAGAAAGTTTTCTCCAATGCTACGCTTTGTTCACTATATTGTTGACACAAAACCAAAAAAGAACACAAAGAAAAGAAAATGTAAAGCTCGTGTGGGTGTAGTGGGAACGCACCAACACGCAACCTCTTAATTAGAGGAATCCTCATCAACAACCAAACACGTTGAACAAAAAGTCAATCTAGTGTCTTGCCATTTGGCTTGATGTCGGTTTCGCGACACTGAGGGAAAGCCACACGTACATCTACGTAGCTTCATCCCCAATCAATCCCTATAATTATTTCTTTTGAAGTCCCTCATTTCTTCTGCATTATTGTCGTTTTTATCCTTTTTGGTTTTGTAATCAGTATTTTATCATTAAACGTGACATGCTTCATTCTCCAACACATAAAATAGTCTGAACCCAATAAATAAATAATCAGAAAAATGAGTATTCTTGGTCCCTGTATGATTAACCGTTAAACTATCACTTTCGCGAAAAACTTCTTGTGATTACTCTGATATTTATATGTAATAAACTAGTTTTTTTCTCCGTCTTATGTTCGCGTATAGATATAAAGAACTCATACGAAATATATGATACAAGAAGCCAATCAGAAATATTTGATACAATGTTGAATATTAAATTGTGAACCTTAGCTTTGACTTGTGAATATGATTTTAGTGAAACTGTCGCCCATTATTTTCAACGGTCAACTGCAAGTGACTATACTTTTAAATATTTTTGTTTAACAATTTAAAGTGAAGAATATTTTTCGTTGTCTCGTGAAAGTTTTAGTGGATATCTAAATTTTGCTACATCATACGAAAGTTACAATTAAAACAGTCGATTAATGGTTTGATCTAATTAATCGAAAAAATTCATACAATTTCATTCCAGCGTTAACATTCTTTTACTGTTTTTATCAAAAAAAAAACATTCTTTTACTGTGATAACGTAATCTGCATGATTTCGGGTGAACTTAAAAACGAAATTATTGAAAGTTGCATGTCGTTTCCAACACGAAAACGAGTAACGTTGGAAAAATTGGAGAAACTCTTAAAGTCCGTGAGATGTGAGGATTGGAAACTGAATGTGGGATAAAGGTTTAGGATCTTCAAAATCGCGATTGATTAATTGGGAACGTGAAGCTCAATTAGTTAGTATTCTTGATAAACTCATCGATGAGATATAAGAATATGAAAAAAAACTTCTTTGTGGAAATATTTTTCTCACATATTGGAGAGATGCTCACCTTAGCAAAAAAATCGCATGTCGAGAAGATTACTCTCAAATAAGTTTACCACAATGAAGTTGAGGAGATGCTATAAAAATACATCGAAACCGTTAAATGAATATGGATTTTTGGAAAATGGCCAGATACATCAAGATCAAACCATCCTTCTCTCAGAGACCACTTAGGACCTCTAAAGGAAACAAAAATGATAAGGAAAAGACAAAAATTCTTCCTAAAAGACAATCAAGATGATAAGTAACTATAAAAATTACATAAATTATTTTCTTTATAAACTGTAACCAAAAAACTCAAACTGGTAAACAAAAACCAATTCAGAACTGAAACATATTAACCACGATTTGAACTCCAAAAACCAAATCCATAATAAAATAGAATTCATAAGATAAGCCCTACATTCCAAATCTTGATTTGGTTTCTATTTCGAATTCTATTACCATAATCCTATTGCTGGTTTTTAATTAAAGAAAGAGTTGCGATGCTAGTTTCTACAAACAGTCATTTTGTAAAAATTGGATAGTTTGAAGATATTTATTAGCATTTCCTTTTTTTTTTGTTCAAGTGAAAGTTTTCAACAAAATTAAAGTGAGAAGATCTCTTAATCACACCAATTAAAGTAAAGTCTAAAGACTAAAAACAAAAAAGTCTAATAAATTAATACAGTTTGGTGGTTTTAGACTTGCACGTGTCAAAAACTAATTGGTGGAAAAAAAAGAATGTCTCACGTGTAACGCAAAAGCCTTTCTAAAAAATTTCTTCAGCATTTACCAAACTAAAGCGCGCCTCTCGCTTCCTTCCTTCAACCTCTTCTTTGCTCTCTCTCTACACAAAACCAAACTTATCTTTCCTTTTTTTTTTTCTCTCCTCTCTGTCTTTTACACACAGAACTCTGTTTTCAAAGCTCTGTTCTGTTTCTTCTATCTGTTTTTCTCTAATTTTGAAACTCTCGTAGAGACGTAACGGTTATTTTGTTGTTTAGCCTCTTTGTTCTTCGAATCCAAATGTCTTCTTTGTTTTGTGGAACAATGGTTAGATGATTTCGATTTCAATGGTGAGATTCTGTCTCTGTTTCGTCTTCTTCATCTTCATATCTGCAAATCCGAAATTAATCAATTCGTGGGATGAGACTGCGGTTAGATTCGAACCGCCGTCACCTTCTCCGGCGCCGGAGCCTTCACCGGATGATGATGATTCGTCGGTTTCATGTGTGGATGACCTAGGAGGTGTTGGCTCTTTAGATTCCACGTGTAAGCTCGTCGCTGATTTGAATCTCACACGTGACCTAAACATCACCGGTAAAGGTAATCTCCACGTTTTGTCTGGTGTTAGATTGGTTTGCCAGTTCCCGGGATGTTCGATTAGTGTCAATATCTCCGGGAATTTCTCATTGGCTGAGAATTCCTCGGTTATCGCCGGAACTTTCCGTCTCGCGGCGGATAACGCTGAATTTGGGGTAAATTCGGCCGTGGACACCACTGGATTGGCTGGAGAACCGCCTCCGGATACTAGCGGTACGCCGGAGGGAGTGGAAGGTGCCGGTGGAGGATACGGAGGAAGAGGTGCATGTTGTTTGTCGGATACTACCACGAAGATACCTGAAGATGTGTTCGGTGGTGATGTTTACGGTTGGTCGTCACTGGAGAAGCCGGAGATTTATGGTAGTAGAGGTGGTTCGACGAGTAATGAGGTTGATTACGGTGGAGGTGGCGGCGGAACG